ATAAATTCTGAATGAAAATTGCTAGTTACTGTGCGAGATAGATACAAACGAGGGGGGGTACAAAGGGGGAGGGAGGGAGCTGAAAAGTCGGCGTTTATCTCACAGATACACACGGCACAAGTACGAGAAAAAGTATCTTATAAAGATCGACCATTAGATGCACTTTAATTAAGTGGAAAGATCTCACGAGGGGTTAAGATCTTAATGGTTTTATCTACGAAAAGCTGTTTTAATGTTTATATATATAAAACGAGGGAAATTAGGAACTTGTAATTATAAAGAAAACGTTTTTTAAACAAATAAATTGCAGCAACATATTTAAAAACCGTCACTAGCAAAAAAAAACAGCCCCAAAATACCCATAAAAATAAAAGACAAACAATTGGAAATTCCCGAAAAAATGTCTACACATCATCTAGATGCTGATCCTGATCGAAAATATATATAATTTATGGGACCTGTGAAAACAAAAGTACTCTCTCTTCTAGTAGAACTAGGGGAAAGAGTAGCGAAAATAAATAAACAGTGACTACAATTTTGAAAGCAAAAAAACGACGAAAATAATTGCACAAATGAAACGGAGAGAAAAAGACGAAAACAGACGCAAAAAATAATACAAATAAAACAAGAAAAGAAAAAATTAAAACGAGCACAACATGGCGACGTGTGCGTTATTTAAATGATTTTGCCCAGTTTGCCTCGCTTGCGGTGCTGTGTCTCAATTTAAATGTTTTTTATAGCCTGCATTCGACTGCCGACTTGCCACTCCTAACAATTTTCAGATACAGATACAGATACAAAGACAGAGACAGAGACAGAGACAGCAAACCGTCTGCGAAAGCGAGAGGGCCTCTATACCCAAAAAAAAAAAAAACTGAACGAAATGAAACGAAGCGAAAAAGTTAACAAAAGGCAAAAATCGTTTTAATTTATTCTCGATGCGTATGAAAACGAAAATACAATTCCGAGCTTTGCTTTGCATTACTTTGCTTTTGCTTCTTTGCCTTCTTTATCGCTCATTTCTTATCCCTGCACATTCGTCTCTATATATTGCTCATACGTCGTGTTGACTCAATCTAAAGTTTACTTCGAAAAAAATGCTTAAAAACCGAAAATATCACGTTTATAACTTAAATAATGTACACACATAAAGCTTGCTAAATTACTTGATAACTTTAAATTGTAATCTAGGAAAAAGTATACAAGTTTTGAACCTTGAAAAATATTATTTTAGGGCTTCAAACATTACTAAAAGTCCTGGAAAGTAAAGGAAATTCAGAGCAACTCTTGGAATTTGCTAAACTTTAGTACAAATTTATTTATTTATGGTTTCCCTTTCTTTCCTCTCTTTCTTTGGGGAAAATGGGAAATGGGGAAATGAAATTGGTCACCGGGGGGGGGCACCCAGAACCATTTATCTTATTGAATACTTGGAAAATATTCCGAGTTTTCCCTTGCCACCACCGGTGTCTTAATTGTTTTTCCATTGTCTTGGTATCTCTCTCTCTTCGTCTCTGTCTCCGTCTCTTTATGTTTATTTTTTGTTTCCTCTCTCTTTTGGCTATTGTTGTTATCGCCATTTAGTTGTTGCAGCGCGTGCGTGCTGACAAGACCGATTTGAGGGCACTGTTACAAGGCCTAGAGTCAGTCGCTATGTCTCCGGCTCTGTCTGCGATCCAACGTACCCGCCCCAAAAGCCATCTCTCTCGGAAAATACCCCCGTTTCCCACCAAATTTGGCTAGACAACTTTTGTGTCAGATTCACAAGCGCGTTGGCAGTTGCATTCTTGGCGTTTTCAGCCGCAGCTAAACTTGGCTTGGTCTAGGTGATTATTGGAGCAAGACGAATGCGTGAATAAAATACATAGATATATATATATCTGTGAGCTGCAACTTCTGAGAACACAGTATCCAGCTGTGTGTTGAACTTTGGTCGCGTTGCAATCAAAGTCAGCCAAATGCCACACAATCAGGCTCAACGAAGAAGGCCAACAACAGAGTGGCCAAATTGGGTAAGACTTTTCTTAGAGAGATTTTTAGTTAGGTGTTGATTGAGACAACGTTTAAATGGGGTAAGAGCTTAAAAGTACCCTTGACCACAGTTTAATCTCCATAGAAAACTATATAATTATATAGAAAAATAATTCTATTAATTCTAGAATATTTTTCCCCTCACTAACCTGCTTATTTATTACCCCAAGCAATCTTTACTGTGAAGGCAAAAAACCTTTAAGTGATTGCCGTAGGGCCGTAGAGCAAAAGTTTAATTAGCTTATCAGTGAAATGTGCCAAGACGTGCCTCCCAATCACCCCACCTCCATTGATAACCCCTTTTCCCCCTATTCGCAAATTGATAAACAATCAGAAAATCCGTAGAGTTAATGTAAATAAAGGTATAGAAACTAATGCCGCGATACTTAGTACCCATGACTACGGCGGACGGACTCTAATTGACTTGGCCCAAAACAAATGATTGATGGCCTTACTTCTCGAGCAACAACAAACGAAATTATTATAATTGGTGCCAATAAAACTGTAGACGACACATGTCGCATGGAAATCGGAGGAGAAACATAAATACTATATATATATATAAACCGAAAATAGAGTCTCATTTTTCTGGCTAGGCCAAAAGGTCAGGCAAGGTCATGGTCAATGATTACCGCACTTTTTGGCAACACATTTCTTCTTCTCCGTTTGAGCCTTTGGCAGGAATTTACAACTCTCTTGATTGCGTTTCCTTTTTTAGTTTTTAGTTTCTAGTTTTTTTACATTTCCACAATTTCTAAACTTTATGCGGCATTCACACGCAGAGCTTCTCTCGCTATTGTTTTGTTTTGCTCTCTGGCAATGTTTGGACATAAAACTTAATATAATTTATTAATTACCAGCAGCGTTTTGTCTTTTGATAAAGAAAGAAACACAATTTTGTTAATGGCCAACGGGCACGCAATAAGCAGAGCCAGGAAAAATGGGGTAAAGAAGTACGATTCATAAAATAAAAGATATATTTCTTTAACTGCGTTTTGCTTTGACATTATTCATGGCTTTCTCTCTTTCCCCATCAACGTCTTCTGCTGCTTCAAATGGGTCAAGTGTGAATGAATACATTTCTGTGAAAATTGTGGGAGTTGCTTGGAATTCCAATGGAAAAAATAGTAGCAGAATAAGATCTAACAAGAAAGGAAGCAAACTTTGGGAAGCCAAAGATTGCAATACCCTTTGGGGCATAGGTACGAATCTAAAACCGATCATAACTAAGCCAAAAATGCATTAAATTTCATTCTGTAGGAATTTCTGTGCTAGTTTTTGAAAGGTTAACAAATCTGCATGCTAAGTTTTACAATTGTAGAAAACTAATTTTTTGTTACATTTTTTGACAATTTTTACGATGTAAGCCATAAAAATATTATCCAAATTTTGAAAAAATTAAAAATTTCCGGACACGGCTAGATCGATTCAGCTGTTGATGCTGATCAAGAATATATATTATTTATAGGGTCGGAAATGATTCCTTCACTGAGTTTTTAGCTTTTGACTGAAATTATGATACCCTGCAAGGGTATAAACAGGTCGAGATTGTTTTTTTTGGGATTCCGCCCTCAAACTTATGTTTAAGTAGATCTTAAACACAGAATATTATATATTTGCTTAAATTAAATTAAATTCGAAGAAACTAGGGTAATTTTTATGATACTATAAAATGTAGAGTTGAAATTCCTACTAAAGTTAATCATAAAATGTTCTTGAAAAAGAAAACAAAGTATGTATCCATAAGATCTCTGTGGACATTATTACTGGATTTATCTATAGTTACATTAAAGTGTAAAATGAATACATTTCTCTATAAAGGCAGGGATTCTGTTTCAATGAAAACAAAATTCAATTGAAACTGGAAAAAAGCCTGAAAATATACAAAACGCTTGTATACAAAACTTATCTTTAATGCAGACAGTTCTTCGAAATTTGAATACAAAATAAACATCTCCATTGAATGGTTATACAACGGAGCTTTTGTCACTTTTAACTTCTGTTTCTATTTACTTTTAAGCACCATAAATTCCTTTTGAAATAAGGTAATTTGTTTACATAGGCTTTATCAGTTGTCTAGTTTGTCTGTCGAAGCGATTAGAGTCGTTGTTTCGCCTCTAACTTATGACCAGTTTGTGTTACAGTTTGCGTTTACGATCGCATTCTGACGCTTATGGCAATTAATGATTCGATGTTTACGGGTACTTTACCCCCTTGGGGGGCTCAGGCTCTACTTCGAGTGAGTGGTTATATTCTTTTTAGCGAAAAACTCACGTAGAGAGAGAACTAGCATCCGGGGGATACCAAGAAGACCCAGTCATTGACGGACCATGACGACGGAGGAGTAAAGGAGGGAAATGCCTCTTGTCTCATAATCAACTCTCTGGCAGTCACTCGTTTTGCCCCGTTCCACAAGCAAAAAACATTCCACTCACAGCAATCAATCAATCAAATGGCGCGTCGTCCATCAATCTCCGGCTAAAGTCAAAACAAAAACAAAAACAAAACGGGAGTAGTATATACCCTTGCCCTAAATACCCTTCGTTTGCCTGCATTCTCCAAAGAAAGTACGAAATATAGTCAATAAATTAATATCTCATCCGGCAATATGGTGAGTAATAGCCATCTGTGTGAATTTACAGATTGATATATTGCATAATAAATAAGGATCGAACGAACGAATGTTCCCTACTCTATATGATGTAAGTTTAGATTAGGAAGACCCAGTTTTGTATATTAACAATGTGCTTATTCTAATAATGTGAAACATATGGGGCAACCTAATGACTAAATCATTGATCAACTCATAGATAATAAGGAATATACTCATTATTATGCTGATACATTATCCCTTTCAATCTATCCTGATAAGAGTAAATATTTCCTAAGCCGAAACCCTAAGATCAAAGTCAGCTCATTGAATGCGAATCAAAGCAAAGTTTTGATAATAAATTTTGTGGAGTACTCACCTTTATGTAAATTTGTGGTGTGTGGTGATTGTGGCGCAATCCAATGTTGACAGAAGTTGGTGTGTGTTTGTGTGTACTTGTAGATGTTTGGAGAAGGAGTTGGCTTAGTAGATTTGCCCAGTTAGACGCAGATGTGATAAGAGTTGTTGTAGGTGTTGATTTAGTTTTGGGTTGGAGCTGTTGTTACAGTTGTTGTTGTTGTTGTTCTTGTTGTAGTTGTAAGTAGTAGACATATATATAGACAAGACGACGACAACGACGACGACGATGAGGACGAGTTCCGCAATGCCACGCCAGAGCGGTGGCACCAGCGGGAGCAGTTGCAGTTGCAGTTGCAGGACACAAACGCAATAGCAGATACAATTACAGTTGCGCAGTTGCCTGGATGCAGACGCCTGCAGAACGACGAGAGGGGACGAGAGGCTGGCTGGCGGAGAGTTCCCTTAGAATTCAGCAAACTCCTTGGCGCACTTCTCGGTGCTGGAGATCCGCAGCGCCTCCTCCTCGTAGTCATCGAAATTGCTCGTGTCGCCGGGGCCCTTACACCGCGGAATGAACGGCGCCTCGATTTTCTTTTGGAAGATCGCAATCCAGTCGGTGGAGGCGAACCACTTCTGGTTCTTAATATCATTGACGCCCGCCTTCAGATTGCCGTAGCGCTTGGTCAGGTCCACCTGCAGCAGATTGCGCAGCAGGTCCTTCAGATCGGAGCCGAAATGCGACGGGAATCGCACCTTGCCGGACACGATCTTCTCGTAGATCTGGATGGGCTGATCCGCAAAGAACGGCGGATAGCCGGCGGCCATCTCATAAACGAGCACACCCAGCGCCCACCAGTCGACGGCCTTGTTGTAGCCCTTGGAGAGAATGATCTCGGGGGCCAGGTACTCGGGCGTGCCGCACAGCGTCCAGGTGCGGCCCTTGACCCGCTTGGCGAACCCGAAGTCCGTCACCTTGAGGTAGCCCTGCGAATCGATCAGCAGATTCTCCGGCTTCAGATCCCGGTAGATGAGGTCCAGATAGTGCAGGTACTCGAAGGCCAGCACAATCTGCGCCGCATAGAAGCGCGAGTGCGGCTCCGAGAAGCGTCCCACCTTGCGCAGATGCGAGAACATCTCGCCACCGGGCACATACTCCAGCACCATGTACAGGTTGGAGTTATCCTTGAAGTGGTAGCGCAGCGAGACAAGGAAGGGGAACTGGATGGCCTGCAGGATGCGCTTCTCGTTCAGCGTGTGCTCCACCTGCTTCAGCTTGACCACCTTCTGCTTGTCGAGGATCTTCATGGCATAGTAGTCTTTCGTGGGCTTGTGCTGGACGATCATAACGCGGCCAAACGAACCGGTGCCCAGTGTCTTGATCCGCTCAAAGTCATCGAGGGCGGCGGTATTGGTCGGATTGCGGCGCCACTTGTCCTCGAACTCCTCCTTGGCCTGCTCGAGGAACTCCTTCACCGTCTCGGCGGCATCTACCTTCTTGTTTGACGTGGTGGCGTTGTTGCCCATCTTGGAGATGGTACCCGTTAGCGATGATAGCCGGAATGTGGCACTGGCCGACACTTGAGCGTTATCCTCACCGCTAGCTCCTGCTCCTGCTCCTCCGGATGCACCACCAGATGCTCCAGTCGCTTCCGCTGCCGCTCCCGAACCGGAACCGGTCGTGGTGCTTGTGGCGGCGGAGGGCGTGCTCTTGGCGGCGGCGGCTGCTGGCGACGGGCCGCTGCTGCTGCTGCTACTAGTAGCCTGGTCCGCTGCGGCTCCTCCTCCGGCTCCTCCCGCTGCCGCTCCGCCCTCCTCCTCGCAACTGGACTGCGCCTGTAGCTTGCCCTCGCCGGATTGGGAACTACTATGATGGGACTTTTTCTTTTTGAGGAACTGCAAAATGGACTTAGCTATTTTGCCGAGTTACGGGTAACCGGGAGCGGATGAAATTGTGGTCCTGCTGGGCCCAAGGGAGAGCTACACGCTGGAGCTCCCTCTTTCTCTTGTTGGATTAATTTTGTTGTTGTTTGTGGAAGCTTTTGGTTTTTAGGCGCGTTTAAATTCTGGTTTCGCTTTGTTTAACACGTTTGCGGTTTCTTGTTGTGTTCCGTAGAGGGGTTTTCGTTAAAACTAGTTTACACTTAAGGCTTAGACTAACATTTGGTTTAACACTTCTTTTTTTTAGGTTTCTTTTATGCTCGCGATTCGAGAAGCTGCAAAGAGAAACGAAAGAGAGGAAAAGAGAGAGAGAGAGAGAGAGAGAACGGCACAAATTAGCAAAAGGAATTTGGCTAAAAATAAAGAGTCCAGTTAATTATCTTTACATCGTGCGCCTGTGTGTGTGTGTGCGTGCTATTTAATTGAATTTGATATTTTTCTTCACTCTTATACTGTTCTATTTTGTTCTTTCCAGCGCTTTGCTGGCACTTTTTCGCCGAAAGCTGCTTCTGCTGCTCATAATCACTGAATAAATAAACCAAACGAAATCACAGATAAACTCGCATTTAAAAAGGGGTGAAGAAGAGCCACAGAGAGCTAAAGAAAGAGAGGAAGCGACTTTCGATCGTGTGTCCAAACAGCTGATGTAGTGCCAGCTCGCTCGCTCTCACGCACTGCCGCGCGCTCTCACACACACACACGCACACTGGTACACCCGCACACGCATAGTTGTTGCTTCTTCTGCTTCTTCTTCTTTCTCACGTCCCACTAAGATTTCTGTCTATTTAAATTATTAAATACTTTTGGCACCGTCTTGCTGCCTTTGCTTTGTTTTTGTATCTTTTCTTGTTTTTCTTTTCGAGCACTTTGACTTTGCACTTTGCGCTGGTGTAGGTGCGCGAGTGTGTGTGCGTGTGCGCTTCTGGTTTAGTTTTTGCAATCTCGCTTTGGCGCTCTCTTCGCTGGCACTTTCCTGCATTTCGCACACTTTAAATTAGTTAAATTGGCCTTTATTGCACGTTGTGCTAAATTTCGTTATTCGATTTGGGCATAAAAATCCCGTGGTTTAAACAAACACAATCGCACACGCATACACACACAGCGCTCGGGCTCGCGCACACACACACGCGCACACAGATTGGATAATCGATTTTTTTCACACTCATTTCCTTTTGAGTTTGCTTGACTTTGTTTTTGCTCTTTCGACTCTTCCATGCGAATTACCTTTTTGCAATTTTTACTACAATGCCAGCGGTTCGAGTTCGCGTTTAGAATTTGCCTCCGACTTTCCGATAAATTGTGTGCACTGTAGCTGTGGATTTGATGGCTTAGATTAAAAATACCCGCATAGCCGCCGAACACGTCCGTCACGTTCGAAAATTTTTTTTAGTAAGAGCTTATTTAGAGGAGCTTATAAGCTTTTCTGCGTCGAACAGGTCGGACAGGTGCTGCAAATTTGGCTTGCTTCCGGCTAGGCGTATTGGAGAATGGAAAAGCTTTTTGATTTTCCAACTAGCTTGTAGTCACTGCTGATTGGATTTTGTCGTTTTATATGATGAGAAAAACTGACCAACTTAGTTTGTATCTCAAAGACAGAAAAATATCTAACGGTCATGTAAATGCCCAACTGTCAAATATACTCGTTTTTTTCTGTTAACGTTCTTATTTCTTTAAATTCGCAAGAGAATAAAGAAAAATAATAATTAATACATTCTCGGTTATAGCGTTTTTGCCGCATTTATTTTCTATATTTAGCTAGTTTTAGCGTATTTATGGTCAGAATCTAGCTTATTCGGGTGTTTATAACCTGCTAATATTGCTGCTTAATCAAACAGGTTCGTCAGATCAGTGTTGTCAGTTTAGCTTTCTTTATGCTATATATGTGGAATATAAAAAACCTTATGAAAATATATATAAGCTTAAAGACTTGTATGGGCTTATTTTAATATTTAATTATCATTTAGTCCAATAAAGTTACAATTAATTGATTTATAATACAAGAAAAATATATATATTTATACTACATGTGCACAGGAATTTTAGCGGGTGCTAAAAGTACAAAACTTTGGCTAATAATTAAAAATTTTTTTATCAAGAGTCCAAGATATACATAGTGTTTTGCATAAATAACAGTATATTTTAATTTGCACTTGCTTAATTAAATTTCAAGATAATGAGATAATAATAATAATAGAATAATAATATTAATAATAATAATAATAATAATAGAAATAATAATAATAATAATAATAATAGTAATAATAATAATAAATAATAATAGAAATTAACATAACAACATTTTTAATTATAGAAATTAACAGAACAACATTTTTAATAATAGAAATTAACAGAACAACATTTTTAATAATAGAAATTAACAGAACAGCATTTTTTTTAAATATATGTATATATGTAAAACAGGCATATGAGGTTTAGATTGTTTTAAAGCCGGTTATAATAATACATCAATAATTATTTTGGCTTGACTTTTCAGTTCATTTTCGTTTTCACAGAAAATTCGTTTATTGATATTTTCCAGCAGGGCATATTGCAGTGAACTATCGCATGCAAAAAAAAAATTTTAAAGCAAATCTATTTAAATGTGGAATATTAAGCATATGAGGCTAAGTTTGTTTTAAAGCCGGTTATTATAATATATTATTAATTATTTTGGTTTGACTTTTCTTATCAATTTCGTTTTCTCAGAAAATTCGTTTTTTGACATTTTCCCGCAAGGCATATTGTAGTCAAATATCGCATGCAAAAAATAATTTTAAATCAAATCCATATAGATGTGGAATAACAGTCATATGAGGTTAAGATTGTTTTAAAGCCGGTTATTATAATATATAAATAATTATTTAGGTTTGGCTTTTCAGTTCAATTTCGTTTTCTCAGAAAATTCGATTTTTGACATTTTCCCGCAGGGCATATTGCAGTGAACTATCGAATGACAAAAAAATAAAATAAAAAGCAAACACTTTTAATTGTGGAATAACGGTATATGAGATTAAGATTATAACTTACACACGGTTAAAAAATGTTAAATTTAGAAGGATTTGGCTGTTTTTTTCTGTCGACCATTTTTTACTTTTTATATTACAATTTCTTAGGATTTTATATCAAATTTACCATAAGAAAAATATTGCTTTGTGTTTAATTGTGAAGTATCCAATAAAAAAATTTTTAAGCAAATGAATAGATATGTGTAAATATGGAATAATTGCGATATATCGATCTTGTAAATACATCGTGTATTCGATAATGGCCTTAGTGGTGGAAAAAGCCATTATCGAAAAAATATTCGATACCGGAAGTAGCAATTATCGAATATATTTTCGATACCGACTACTTCCACCTCTACATTTAGAAAGATTATTGACCGCCAAAAAAAGCTAAAATAAGCTAAAAATATAAAAATAAAAATTACCAGATCAATGCTAAAAGAAAAGCTAAAATTAACACCACTTAATTAAGTAGTACTCTTTGAACTAGAATGCTAAAACTAGGTCAGACTCGCTCCAAAAACAAGCAAAATTAAGCAACATAAGTAATTAATTTTTAAAAAGTATATTTTTATTTTATTAGAAATTCTTGATACACTTGCCCAAGGAGCAAGCGTTACATAAAGCTAAAGAAATTTTTAGATCATGCGGCCAAATTTATTTTATTATTATATATTATATTATTCTATTTTATATTTTATAATAATTTATAATAATTATATAATAACCGGCTTTAAAACAATCTTAACCTTACATGATTGTTATTCTACTTATTAAAGGATTTGCTTTAAAATATTTTTTTTGCATGCGATGGTTCACTGCAATATGACCTGCGGGAAAATGACAATAAACTAAATTTCTGAGAAAACGAACTTGAACTGAAAAGTCGAACCAAAAAAATTATTGATATATTATAATAACCGGATTTAAAACAAAATTAGCCTCATATGACTGTTATTCCACATTTAAAAGAATTTGCTTTAAAATATTTTTTGCATGCGATAGTTGACTGCAATATGCCCTGCAGGAAAATGTCGACATACTAATTTTCTGAGAAAACGTATTTAACTGAAAAGGCAAACATAAATAATTATTGATATATTATAATAAACAGCTTTAAAACAATCTTAGCCACATATAACTGTTATTCCACTTTTAAAAAGTTTTGCTTTAAAAAATTTTTTGCATACGATAGTTGACTGCAATATGCCCTTCGGGAAAATGTCGAAAAAACTAATATTCTGAGAAAACGTAAGTTAAGAGAAAAGGCAAACAATAATTATTATTATTATTATTATATTAATTATATATTGTAACACACGGCTTTAAATCAATCTTAACCACACATAACTGTTATTCCACTTTTAAAAGGATTTGATTAAAAAAATGGTTTTGCATGCGATAGTTCACTGCATTATGCCAAATGTCAAAAAGAGAATTCGCTGAGAAAACGTAAAAGTCAAACCAAAAAAATCTTACGTTTTTTAAGACAATTTTAAGTTTTTGTTTTGGTAAATATACTAAATACTTTTGAAATCCTATGAAATTGTCATGTAAATTTTAAATCCCAAACGCTTTCAAAAGTGTATATATTATATATAACATGAAAACCGTATATTAAAATACAACAATTTTATAAAAAGGAAATTTGTTTAAATTATGAAAACATTAAATAAAATAATTAATAGTTCAGGGTATTCTTGTAAGAATATACCATTTAAACTAACCATAAATATCGGATATAAGTGGTGTGACCAGACGTTTTGGTTTTTATAACCTACCCAAAAACGGTACTCCAAGGCCGACGCACGTGTTTTGAAAACGTTTCCAATTTTCCAAATTGTTCAAATTTGCCCTCAGTGAAGCAACAAGCCGAGAGGTAGCATTTAATTTGTATTTATACCAAAGTACAGTGAAGCAAGATACTTAAAAATGGTAAGTCCATCGACAAAAACCTTTTGTAGATGAAAACTAATAAGATTTCCACACAATTCGCAGACTGAGGAAGTGAACCCCAAGGCATTCCCGCTGGCCGATGCCCAGCTCACGGCCAAGATCATGAACCTGCTGCAGCAGGCTCTGAACTACAACCAGCTGCGGAAGGGCGCCAACGAGGCCACCAAGACGCTGAATCGTGGCTTGGCCGACATCGTGGTCCTGGCCGGCGACACCGAGCCCATTGAGATCCTGATGCATTTGCCGCTGCTGTGCGAGGACAAGAACGTGCCCTATGTCTTTGTGCGCTCCAAGCAGGCCTTGGGTCGTGCCTGCGGCGTTTCCCGGCCGATTGTCGCCTGTTCGGTGACCACCAACGAGGGCAGTCAGCTCAAATCGCAGATCACCTCCATCCAGCAGGAGATCGAGCGACTCCTAGTCTAGGTTTCAATAGTTTTAAGTGAAAAGTACAAAGTAATAAACATGTGTATTTTTTAATACAATTTGTTGTTTTTGTTGCGGCACATGCTCATTGATTGGAGTGACCGTTTGCCAGTCCCCGAAATATACCAGAAAATACTGAAAATAGCTGACCAGCTGATTTTACCGCGTGCAGGCAGTTTTTGGTGGGGAAAATAAAGTTGCAAACCAAAAACTTATTTATTGTTTGTTTCTAAACTTGTTTGTTGCGCGTCTACCCGTGTGTAATTTGGAAACTGCTTCGACTGCTCCCAATGACAACGATGCAACGCCTCCTTTGTGGACCGAGGGAATCTCTGGCTGGATGCAAGTGACAAGCGGCGAGCGAAATCGAAGCACCAACAAAAACCAAATCCTGACCAGCGACGTAGCGACGAAATGAAGCTGTTGGGCAAATACGTGGACAAGGGCATGCAGGGGTGAGTGAACCGATTCAAGATGTTGGCCAGGACTTATGTGTTAATTCCGCCAGGAACATAACCCTGATGCCGGAGGAGTCGGAGGACATGTGGCACGCCTACAACCTGATAGCCGAGGGCGACAGCGTGCGTAGCACCACCATTCGCAAGGTGCAGAATGAGACGGCCACCGGCTCTTCCACCAGCAGTCGTGTTCGCACCACGCTGACCATTGCCGTGGAGAGTATAGACTTTGACACGCAGGCCTGCGTGCTCCGGCTGAAGGGGCGGAACATCGAGGAGAACCAGTACGTCAAGATGGGCGCCTATCATACCCTGGATCTGGAGCTAAACCGCAAGTTTGAGCTGCGGAAACCGGAATGGGACACCATTGCGCTGGAGCGCATCGAGATGGCCTGCGACCCGACACAGTCGGCAGATGTGGCCGCCGTTGTGATGCAGGAGGGATTGGCCCACGTCTGCCTCATTACGGCCAGCATGACGCTGGTGCGAAGCAAGATCGAGGTGTCGATTCCGCGCAAACGCAAGGGCAGCGTCCAGCAGCACGAGAAGGGTCTGGCCAAGTTCTACGAGCAGGTGATGCAGAGCATCCTGCGGCACGTGAACTTCGACATTGTCAAGTGTGTGCTCATCGCCTCGCCGGGCTTTGTGCGGGATCAGTTCTACGATTACATGTTCCAGCAGGCTGTAAAGATGGACTACAAGGTGCTGCTGGACAACAAAAGCAAATTTATGCTGGTGCACGCTTCCTCGGGATTCAAGCACTCCCTCAAGGGTTAGTTCATATGGATTTAATCATTGGATTTCCTTCTAATAACGTGTTTTTAATTATGTCTTTAGAGGTACTTCAAGATCCTGCCGTTCTGGCCAAGATGTCCGACACCAAGGCTGCCGGTGAGGTCAAGGTTCTGGAACAATTCTACATGATGCTACAATGTGAGCCCGCCAAGGCCTTCTATGGCAAGAAGCACGTCCTCCAGGCCGCCGAATCCCAGGCCATTGAAACGCTGCTCATCTCGGACAATCTGTTTAGGTGAGTTCCAGTTGATTGAGGCCTAGCCTCCACCCAGCTGAGCACACATTACGCTCAATCAAGCAGAGAGATCAAGAGCATGATCGCGAGTATTAGCAAAAACCTTTAACTTCAGACGGAGAACAGCCTGAGAGCAATGACAATTGGTGGCCACATGTCGCCTTATAGAACATGTGTCACCCAGTCTGCCGGAAAGACTGCGTATATTGGAGCACTTTAGGAAATGTGAAGAAGCGGCAATCAATTTCATTATTGGCTTGAATGTTTCTTAATTAGTTTGCAACGCAAAAAAAAGCAAGGAGATTTGAGATTTTAATTGATTTGGGTTAGATTTCAGCGGAAAGTTATAATTTAATATGCCTAACATTAGTTTTGGAGTCTTTTGAAGTTTGCCATTGCCATTTCTTCTATATAATAATGTCACAGATTAGTAAATCAATTTGTTTTCTATAATAACTTAGAATCTTGATATCAGAGTGGAAAGAAGCAAAGATTACGCTTCTTACGGAAACCTTGTCTTTGTAGCCAAGAGAGTTCTATTTTTTATGGCCTCTCAAGTAGAGATAACTAAAGTTCTACTCATGACAAATGTCACAAGGGTCTACACTCTAGAAATAGTTAATAGTATAGCACTTCTACTATTCCATCCGCTTCATGATTAACTTTGGACTCCAACTAGTGACTAGCTTATTCTTCCGCTCTGAAAATTCTACAGATCTGCTCGCAATCGGCCGCGTTTTAGCCATTTAGAGAAAGCACGTCCGAGCATTAATTTGTTGGCCTGATAGCGACGTGCTCATGATCAAGGTTGTTCCAATCAATGTCGTGTCTCCCCACCATTTTTGGCTGCCTGTCTGTTTTGGTTCTAGTAGCGATTCTCCTCAGCTCTTTACTGCTCTTCTCAGCTATTCATTCTCTCTACAATGTTCTCCCCCCTTTGTTTACATTTTAATGGGCCGTTGAAATTCCATTTGTGAATATTTTCGCATGCTAACCGCGTGTCTGGCATTTAAGTGGGGAGCCAAGTGTTTTAGGTTTCTTCTTAATCACTTAACATTTTAATAAACTTAATGTTCTAGGCACAAGGTGTTTAACTTTAGCACATTTAATCAGTCCGCTGTGGGTTTGTAAGGCTGCTCCCAGGCGCTCTTCCTCCAATCTCAAAAATTGTTCAGATCGCCGGTTGACGCTATCGTCGTCGTTGTCGCTCTGGATTCGCCTTTATCTCGACATTTTTGATTACTGCTGATTGTTTCGCCATTGTGCAAAGAGAGAGGGAGAAAAAAAGAGGAGGAAATATATTATGTGATCTTTTGTTAGGTTTTCCGTTTGAATTACCGCCTCTGCTGCTGTTCATTCCACTGATTTTTCCGCAGTTTCTGCTGGTACACGGTGTCCTCCTCGAAGTCATCTCTGCTCCTCATCATCAGCCGCTTGAAGCAATCGTCGAGGGTTTCCCTCAGCGGCAACAGGCGATGAGGTGAGGGCGGGGAATTTGGCAGAGTTCTGTGCTCCAGCTTCTTGAGCGACTCGCACGTGGTGGGTGCGACGGGGTAGCCCAGTTCGGAGATGGTGTAGTCCGGCTGTCTGGTGAGCATCTTGGCGAGCGGTACGCACTTTATGGACGGTGTTAAGTGGCCGGCACTTGAGTAGGAACTGGAGAGGAAAGATACAGAGTACAGAGAGTCAAGTGGAGTTGATATTTGATCACAGATCAAGTTGGAGTGACTTTGTTTTATTAGCTTTTACTTTATTTTATTGATTCTTTAATTTAGTTAAATATTTAATATAGTATTTTGACAAACTGATTGATTTTTATACCTTTAAAGAACATTATAATTTTAGTCAAAAGCTTAAAACGCAGGGAAGGAGTAATTTCCGACCATATATATTCTTGATCAGGATCAACAGCGGAATCGATTAAGACATGTCCGACTAGAATTAAATTTTTTTTAAATTTTGAATATTTTTATGGGGAAAAATTGTCATTTTAAAATTGTCAAAAGTTTACAAAAAATTGATTTTTTTTTAAATTGTATAACTGAGTATGCAGGGTTTTTATCCTTAAAAAAACTAACACAGAACTGAAATCCGAAATGAATTTAGTGCATTTTTGCCTTAGTTATGATATTTTGAAAACTGTGATTTTTTACAAAAAGCGATCATATAAAAATATTGATTTACAGGAATATATTTTGGGTTTTTTTGGTGATAATTAAGGAAGGAGTCATTTCCCACCCTATAAATCATATATATTCTTGATCAGGATCAACAGCTGAATCGATTAAGCCATGTCCGGTAAAAATTAAAATTTTTCAAAATTTGGAACATTTTTATTGGGTAAAATTGTCATTTTAAAATTATCAAAAATTGACAAAAAATTGATTTCTTTTAATTTTAAAAATAAGTACGCAGATTTGTTAACTTTTTAAAAACTAGCACAGGGTTGAAGTCCGAAATAAAATTGGTCCAATTTTAGCTTAGTTATGGTATTTTAAAAACTGTGATTTTTTACAAAAAACGATCATATAAAAATATTGACTATAGTACCTATAAGGAACATATTTTAGGTTTTCTTGATGATAATTTGTAAAAGAGTCATTTCCGACCCTATAAATCATATATATTCTTGATCAGCATCATCAGCTGAATCGATCTAGCCGTGTCCGGTAAAAAATTAATTTATTCAAAATTTTGAACATTTTATAAGGGGTTACATCGTTAAAAAATAAAAATAAAATTTTTACTTTTTTAAATTTTATATTTAGTATGCAGATTTATTACATTAATAAAAACTAACTTATGAAAACTTTCTGAATTTAATTTAATACTTTTTTGGCTTAGTTATGAGATTATTAAATTTTGATTTGTCAAATAAATTGTCATTTAAAAAGAAATTCTATCCAATCCTATATGTCTTTTTTAATGTTCCATATCATGAAATAAATTTAACTTAGTGTCAAAACCAAAGTCTTATCTTCTTCTATGAACTTATACCATTATAAATAGGTAGACTTTCATGTGTTGTCAATTCCCTCATTATAAATAAATGCTCTTATCAGGAAAATGGTGATTACAAGTTGAGCCAATTTGAGGAATGTTTTCGATAAGTAACTTTACCTATTAAACAGAAAGTTATTTAAATATTTGCCTCGAATTTGTTAGCTCAGCTTTCTCCCTGCACTCAAGTTGTCCCTCACCCATTTAATCCATATACGTCATGGTCGAATTTCGGATTTCGATTTTTGCATGCTCTGTTTTGGACGTCTCTGGTTTTTATAGAGCTGTTTTCGCCATACCCGGTTCGATTAGCAAATTTGCAAAAAGACTGTGCACTAAACTTTGATGTAAATAAGCTGCACCCCATATACATTTATAGGTCTTATAAACTGTGTGGAATCGAAACCCTCGACGCTTTCCGTGAGCCATTTCTTGTGCTAATTGTTAGAACTTGCTGTGGGCGCCAGAGATGGATAAAAAAACAGAGACAGCAAGAACGAGAGAAAGAGAACAGGCGTAATAAACAACAAAATAAGGAAAAAAAAGAATTTTAATTTATTTAATCGCTCCGTTTATGGATTGCCTTCGGGGGCAGCTTTTCAAAGCGGACAGACTTTTGTTTTCCAGTTTTAATAGGTTTCCCTTCTTGAGTTATGTTCTGAGTGCTCAACATAAGTTTGAAATTCCATATAATGTGAAATACTTTAGGTAATATTTTGTAATTTACGTATAGTCCGTATAAAAAAAGGTATTCAAATTCTATTATTGTTTTTAGTTTTGTTAAGTATCTGAAGTATATTCATCATGTACCTAATCTTTCTGTGTAAGTTAACTTATCAAGTTCTTCTATTGCAATTCTCCATTGCATTTGCAATTTTCCCTCTTCAACTGGTTCTTTCCTCTCTCCCCTCTTAACTAGGTATTTTATAGATTTTTTTGTTTTCATTTTGTCTTATATTTTTCATGTGTCCAACCAGTTTTTCTAGTCCCTCTTTGTCTTGTGCATCAAAAACGTGCCCCCTTTTGAAGCGTTTTTATTTGTTGTTATTTTTGTCGCAGCTGGCCACGCTTGTAAATATTGTTTATACCTTTATTTACATATATATATAAACAAATATAAATATATATAAGTGCATTGTGAAAGCCCTGAGAAAACAGACTCGAAAAAAGTTTAAGGTTGAGCAAGAAGTGAAAGGTCTGAATGTGCAGGGAATGTGAATGCGATATTGAATACCCTAAATGGGCGGCGAAATGTTCAATGAATATGGTTTTTATGATTCACATTTATTGGGTCCGGGTCTTGGTTTGTATTTTTTTAAGGGTTTTCCTTGCTTGTTTTGGAATTTTTTTTAATGCTTTAAGGTTGGGTGTTGTTGGTTAACCCCAATGAGTTGGCTGATTTTTGAAATGTTAACACAGCAAATTGCTTAAAATCAAGGTGTTGCCTTAAATATGGGGTTTACCTAACAAGGTTTCTTTTGGTAATGAGAAGAGCTCATGAAAAACTGAGTTTTAAGCTTCAACAGATAGTTGATTTTTAATTTATTGAGTCTTTAATGAGAAGAGCTTTGGAAAAGGTTATTTAAAACCGGAGAACTTTAGTTATTTCTTGATCTTTTTATACATTGATGAGAAAATATCTTTAAAGTTCAAATTTATTAGTAAAACTGTAGTCAATCCCTGACTATTTTAATTCTTAAAACTCATTTAGAGCGTATCCAAGTTCGTCTGTGTCCAGTTTGAGTCAAGTTCACGTTCTTCCCTTCATTCCTCGCACATTTAATTACACATTTCACTCTCTGGAATATCTTGGTTCCTCAGCTTTTTCCCCGCTTTCTGGCCAAAAAGTCAGGGACTGGCTTTCGGCCTCGTGCACACACGCTAATTCCATTAAACAATTGATTCCATTGTGCAATCATTGTCACGCAGCCAGGCAGCAAACAACGCAAAACCTTTGATGGTCGGTTGGTTGCCTGGGAGCAACATCATCAGAGATTGCATGTACCGGTTGGAATTGCATTCCCCAATAACAACAACAATGGAGCACAGCTTGCGGTTAGTATCTACTCATCCGCTGAATAAAAAAAAACACTGATTCCACAGATATATAGTACAGGTAGCAGATGAAATTGTATCTGTATCTCTGCATTGCTTTCCGCTGAGTCAACGGAAAATACTACAACTTTAATTCGATACGATTGGGAGGTTCTGCTGCTTTCTCAAACTTTCACTCTGCGAGGAAAACGCACCTTTAGGTATCTTTTTTTATGCGTAATTTGTGCACTTTTCTTGTAGTTTTTCCCCGTGCTACTGCAGTTTTGTGGGTTTTTCTCTTGTTTTTGTTAGCGGGGGTCTTAGCACCAATTTTTCTTTTCGCGTGGCAATCTACGACGCCGTTGCCGTTGCCGGTTCGATTTGGGGTTCGGGCTTCGGTTTCTTTATTCGAGACTCACTCGCCACGATGTTGCCCGCAAGAAAGCCGCTTTGCAACTAATTCTTCGCAACAAATTCTTCGCTGGGAAGACAGGCCAGACGGCGGCGCTCTCCGGGCTCTGCACGTGCTGATCGCTCTTCTGGCGCTCACTCGCTCTCTGGTAACAAAAAAGCGGGTTTGTTATCGTCAATAAAAATGTTAATTTCAATTGAATTTGTCCGGGGATATAATGGTGGAATTCCTTAATTTCTTACCTGATTTGTACGAGGTTTTTGAACTGCACCAAGCAGCACTTTCATTGCCCCAACGGGTGACTTCATGCTCTCTGTACATTTGACATGCAAATCCAAGTTAAATGTGCGGAAAATGGGGTGGTGGGGTGTAGGGTGAAGACGAAGTGCACCCACTATTTCCAGTTAAACTTGACACCTTATTTCATGGCGGATTAATGCCCATCACGTGCCCCCCTGTCCGGTTTGTGTGGAATGTGAAAGTGCAATAGATACGAGCACTTAGATATCCGTAACTGGATGATAAATGGGTTTATTAATTGATTTCATAAGAATCATATTTGTGTTGCTAATAGTTTTCTTATAAATAAAACCTTTTTTTCACCTTACAGATGTCAAGATGTTAATCTCAGGAAGGAGTATGTCAATCTGGTTGAATCTGTACGCGATGCTGGCGGCGAGGTGAAAATCTTTTCCAGCATGCATATCTCAGGAGAACGTGAGTATTAATGACAAAAAAAAAAATAAAATATATATAAATGATGGAAATTGCAGGAAATCAATTAAGCAGAAAAACACCTTAATATTAATAGAGAATTTAAAGAGGTTTTAATGAAAATAAGCTAGGTTTTCCTTTGGTTATATTTTACCTAAAAAGAGTTTATAGATACTCCCAATCTTAGATCACTTCCAGTATTTTCTCTGTAGTTTCCTATCATCGAATATAGAAATAGAAAAAATGAGTCACTTTGGAGTGCTGAAAGAAACTTCTTCACTGATTAAGTAAAGTGAATACGCATGCTTCGTGGCTCCATTAATTTAAATGATAGAAAGAAAAAGAAACTACATGAAAAGATGTGAAGATGCTTAATTAAAATACAAAAGGAAAACCAGGAAAAATAAGAGATACTTTCTAGGAGTCATATAGTATATATAAAGATACTCCAACAATAGATCCATCTTCCCTTCAACATGCATAATGTTCCACCTTTTTTGTCCATTTCTATGCTCAATTTGAATACTCATGTGCAGGAAGGGGAGGCAGAGGCTGTGTCTAATGACCTCGTTAAAATCTATTTTTAAAGGCGGCGTTGCAATAGCCTCTGCCTCGTAAACAAATATTTTATACACATTTCTATATACATGTATGATTTCTTTGAGACACTGCAGGGGTCTCCCACATTGCAAAGTCCAAAGGCGCATCATCAATTTTGCATTCAAATGGCTGCCAAGTATCTTGCAGAAACACTCTCAATTTCATTTTGTCGGCAATTTAAAATTAATTAAAATTACATTTTCACATATTGCGAATATTTTTTGGGATGTAAAAGTGCTTGAAATGCTTTAAATAGCTTCGATCAGAAGTGACTCACGAGATGCGATTCCTACTTTCAGTTTTATTTTGGCAAGACACGAAAATGGGTCGTTGGGGTTTCCAAAATAGATCTCTCCCTCAGTACATTGTAGTTTTGTAACTCAAGTATTTCTCCCCCTTATCTGTTTGCAATTAAATTTAATGAGACATTTTAATCAGTCTTAAGTTACACAAGTATATAAACATTGCAGAGCAAGAGCCTTGTGTAAACAGAACAAGAATTTAAGAGAGATAATGGGGAACGCGTGTATGCTGGAGTAAACAAAATCAGCTTTTTCTCCTGCCTCAATCCTGAGGTAATTGGGCAAACCCATGAATTTGTAATGCTTGTATGAATGTGAAGTTCAGCACTCGCTTGAGTCATGGCCTAGAACAACCGGTGAGCCTTGGGATTGGACAGCAGAAACGCCCACCACCGGGGGGCATAGTAGCTGGCTGCAGTTCTGAGATTGAGAGTAGTCACTAGGTTCAAGTATTGATGGACTGGAAATTCTGGTTTTCCTCCAAGTTCTACTCTTGTATTTGAATTATTTAATTAATTTATATATATAGTTTAAGCCACTGATTAACACCACTTTCTTTTAATCTTCTCCAGAACTTGCTCAACTGACTGGAATCGCAGCTCTTTTGCGTTTCCCCATGCCGGAACTGGAGGACAGCGATGATGATGACGACGAGGAGGGAGCAGCGGGCGGAGGCGATAGCGATAGCGACTAGGTATGAAATATATATAGAATATAATCTTGGCATTTGTTAAGAGAAGCTGTAATTGTGCTAGCGATGGATATATACACGAGTAGAGAAGAGATAGAGTAATAGGAACCACGACAGACTTGGACTGCGTCAGGGCATATACAATATAAATAGTGCTAATTCGATACGATATATACATATATACACAACATATAACTCCCTAAGTTAAACCCGTGGCTGGGCATAGAAATTGTTTTAGTCAGATAATCCCACCCCACTTTCTTGACTGAAGAAGAAAGCCACAAAACCAACACGAAACAGCAACAAAAGATTATGAACTATATAAACGTTGTGTTCAAAACCAAAATGGCCACAATATTTTAAAAGCCTTGATATAAGAAATGTTTTAAATGCTTGATTTGTTTGCTAAATCAAAGATTATGCTGCGTTTAACGTTGATGTACATTTTTCTATACAAATTGTAATTAAATTTTAATGCTTAAATGCTTTCTCAATTCTCAAACAAAATTGTTCATCATTTTGTAAAGTGCAAAATAAAAGGTAACACAATATTCTTCCAAAATATAATCTGTGGTCTTCATTAATTAAATGGTTTAAGGTTGCACAACCTAAGTTTCAATAAAACCACATCTTGCTTACTGTTATTTTTATACATTTTCATTTGTTTATTTTATATTCCTAAAAATCAAGACACTGAAAACCCCCAACGACTCCCCAGTTGAGCTCATTTGCCCAGCTTGGCTGCCTTGGCCGCTGCGGCGGCCGCCTCCTTGCGTGCCTCCCGCTTGGCCGTCTTGCGGGCCTCCTTTTCGCCAGCCTCTATGGTGCGTCGCTTCTTGCGCAGCAGCCACTCCTCCTTCTCCTTGGTCTGCTTCTCGCGGATGAGTTTGCGGAAGAGGTTACGATGGCGGGGCTTGACCATGCGAGCCTGCAGGCGATGCTCATCGACCTCGGCCTTGTGCACCTGCCGCTTGTTCACCTTGTGCACCTTGCCCGACTGCACGGACATCTTTTGCTTCTCCTGCTGCAGGCGCTTGGCCTTCTCATCGAGTTCGTCCTCTTCATCATCGTCGTCGTCGTCTTCATCATCATCCTCGGCATCCTCTTCGTCTTCGTTGACACCATCGACACCGCCGTATTTCTTGTATTCGGCAGTTTCCTCTTGATAGGCCAGCTGCAGCTGGGCATCGAGCAGCTCTTGGTCCATAGTTTCCTCTTCCTCCTTCTCGGCTTCATCTTCGGATTCTTCATCGCTTTGCTCTGCGTTTAGGAATAGAAATTACTGAAGAAACGAAATGTATAAGTCTTTAAGATGGGCTTACCATGCGTTTCGATCAAGGAGGGATCGAGCAGGGCCTTCTCCTCGGGTGGGATGTATGTGTCCCGCTTGGAGTCCACGAAGGGCGACAGATGCGGCGGCAACTTCTCGCCCAGGAAGTACTTGTTGGTTGGCAGCAGCTGGCGCTGATTTACGCAATCGAAGAGCCACTGCGGTTGGATGTAGTCACGCGAAATGTACTGGGTGGCCAGACTGGGTCTGTCCACGATCTGATGGGTGATGGTCTCATCCATTTCGTCGTAGGTCGAGCCTGGGTAGATGGACGAGTCCCAGGATACCTTGCCGCCGAAGGAGCGGATAATGATGACCAGCGGCTCGCGGGGAACTTCGCGATTAATAAAAAACTTCAGTCCCTTGAAGAGTGTGCGCAGGCGGGACACCTCCTGGGCCTCCTGTTTCATCTTGATGATGCGCTTTGAGTCGCCATCCTGCTCCAGCAGCTCCATATCAATGTCCAGTTCCTCCTCATCCTCCTGCACCTTGTCTGTGCGCAGCAGCTCAAAGTTCAGAGCAGCAATACGATCCGACACGAAGCTAGCCTCGTCCTTGAGCGTGTCTTCGTTGTCCTGGAGCACGCTGCTGGGGAATTGCGGTGGATAGGCCAGATTGAGGGCATGGAACAGCCGGAAGTTGGTAAAGCCCAGCATAATGGTGTAGAACTCCACAAAGATGGACATCACCTTAAAGTCCACCTCCTGGCGGGACTGTGGCTTGAACGGATAATAGTGAGGCACAATCCAAGTGACCTTCTGGCCCTTGATCTCCGCCTGGAAATAGTAGCCCTTGATCGAGATGAACACCTTGCGCAGGGACTTGGAGGCGATCACATAGTGCAGGAACTCAATTGTCAGGCGACGGCACAGGTTCGACTGCTCCCTGGGAATCAAGTGTAGCGAGGGGAAGGTGCTGAACAGGAACAGAAGTGTGAGGCAGTCATCTAGATCCTTCAGGGCATCAATAAAGGTGGGATAGCGCTCCTTGACAATGTGATCGAGCTTGATTTCGGGGAACAAAGCCAGGCGACGCTTCAAATTGCGAAAATCCTTGATGGCGCGGTCGCGGCTGCTCTTCTTGGCGAAGATCTAAGGGGATTTAAGGGATTACAACAGGTTTCAGGGGTTCCTCGAATGTCAAACCTACCTTGTAGTCACGCAGCGTCCACACTATGGACTCGTGCAGCAGGAAGCGTATGTCCTTTGTGTGATACAAGACCTTGATCTCCGAGGAACCCTTCTGGGCCCTGCGTCTGTGCTTTGGCTCACGCGGATAGACGCCCTTGAGGATGCACAGCCTCCGGAAATCGTTCAGCGACAGCTGCAATTTCCTGAGAGCAGCCCGCCGGCTTATATACTGAGTGGCCTCGCCGGATTCGTACTGAAAATTATAAAGAACTATTTATTTACACAAATTCCCAATACACATAACCTTAAAGGGGCTCTAAAAAACATCTTAATTGTTGGGGAAACGTACCTTCTTGGGGCGCCTCATGCTGTTGGTTTATGAAAATGCGTCTTTCGTCAAGTGAAATCTGTTAGAAACAGATTTATTTCAAGAAAAACACGCTGGCAACAAAAATACACGTTTTTTGTTGTTTAAAATCGCGTGGAAGGGAAGTGAGACCGTTGCGCGGTTTAAAAAAAAAAACACTTCGATTTTTTTTGTTTCGAAAAACTTGCTGTTCCTTAAATTTTACATTTGACACGTGTAGATAATAATTTTACACGCAGTTTTAGTGTGACCACCTAGCATCACTATTTGAATTTAAATTTAAAACGTAACTGGAGAAATTGTATATTTTATTATTTTCTACAAATAATAATAGGTGCTTTATAAACTATTTAAAAAAATCTTTCTCCTCTCCTTTAATTAAAAACACTCGTTCTCTGCCATTGGATAACTCATTTTATTGAATCTGTTTTATTGTTTTGGTTTTGTTTTGTTTTTCTTTTTTATAGGTATTGTATTGAGAAAATAACATACAGTCTAAGTTTGTTGTATTATATATAATATTCGTTATATATTAGTTAGTTTGAACATTAACTTTGTTTATTTTGTTTTTGTTTTTGTCCGCAACTCGCTTACTGCAGTCGCATTTCGCGCATTTTGTTGATAACAAAAGTTTGTTTATTAAACGGCCATTTGTCGTTTGCTGCGGCTCTGCTACAAACTCGGCTATTTTCATTTCGAAAACATTCGTGTCCTTGTGTCGTGTGTGTGTGTGTCTCTGTTCTTTTTTGAGTAATTGCTTTCGAAGCCTTGTTAACGGTTCCATGTAAATGTATCTGTATCTGAGTGTGTGGCTTGTTGTTGTTGTATATTTCACCTAAATAACTAGTTAACATTTCGGTTTGTTCGCTATAGCTTCGTTTTGATTTACACAAGTTTCGCCTCGCTCTGTTCTGTTTTCCACCTTCGACTTCGTATTCAGTTAGCGGTCCTTAAAATGCTTTATATAACGTCATATAACTCTTGGTTTATATATATCTTGAGTGCCAGCCATATATGTTTGCATGTATCGTTAGAAATTGACTATATATTTGATTTTGCATTTACGCCTTGCTCGTTTTTGATGATCTCTGTTAAATGGATGGGCTTGGGGTTCGAATGATTGATTGTGTGTGGTGTGTGTGTGTGTGTATTTTGTATAAAATCTAAATGTCGTTAACTAGACGTACTTGTATAAAGTAAATAACTCGCTGCATTACATCGTATATACTCATCACTGGAACCCAATTGTACTCCTTCGATGACTAAAAATGGCAAACCAAAAAAGGGAATTCTATTTTCAAAAGGGGTAACCTCTTCATTTTTGTGTGTTTCTTTCATGGTTTGTCTGATTATTCATACATATATAAATCATTTGTACAATCTTATGTGCTAGAAGCGTATCAGTTGTTAAAATTAATGTCTGTTATTATAATACTCTCATTGTTCGCTATTAAAAGTTACACACTCCTGTCCGTGTACTAATTACATGCCCGCTCTTGTGTTTTCGACCGAAATACACACACACTTTGTAAGGTAAAATTCAAAATTACAACGATCCAAACTCAACGACAATATATAACGATAACAACGCAAAATTGTTTGGTGGGTAATGATAACTGTATTACACACGACGGCCATATATATATCTGCTGATCCCGATGATCGCTGGCATTACAAATCAGAAAATAAACGCATCCGGTTTATACACTTATAAATTTGAAAACGCTATAAAATCGTTAAATTAGTCTACCAATATGTTAACTATTACTTTTTACTGGATTTCATATATCGTATTTCGTATCGTATTTCGTATTTGATTCGTCATCGATGCTAATCGGTAATCGTCTTGATTCCACATGTCGAACATAAATAAAAAAATCGAAAACATATCGAAGCCGCAGGCAAACATATCGATTTTACTGACAAGTTGTCTAAACAACGGACGCAACTTGAAACTGTCTCTAAATATCTTGTATAATCGAATATAATATATATTTTGCATACATTGCATTTCTATTCTGTATTCGTTATCGTACGGAGTATTAAAAAAAAGTAATCCCTTGGAGCGTGTGTTGCACAGACACTATCTATATATGGTACATATACTGGTTTATAAAAGTTAGTAAATATATATTTATATATATATATCGGTTTAGGTCTAGTTCGTAGATTATTTAAAGCTGAAAGTAATGATTATGTGCTCGTTCGTTTCCCGTTATTACTCGTAGACGTTATATGTGGTATTTATATATATCCGTATCGGTGTTTCTTGATCAAGACGATTGTTATAGGTGATTGATTTGAGAGCGCGTGATTGGTAATGGCCAGATCGATCTATAGAAATGCTACCGATTTGTGGTCTCTCTGTTCTGTGCTCGTGTGTTTGCTAATTTTTGTTTAAAAAAACATCGAAGGAACATCGAATAACACATATAGTCATGCCAATTACGATCAAATAATACGAATCGAATATTTGGGTATACTTACGGTTGGATTTTTCTGCAAGAAAAAACTCAAAAATTTGGTTGAGGACACATAAAAATTAGCAAACACATAATATCGTTTGTTTTTTGGTTTTTTTGATTTTGTTTTTTTTTTAGTAAGTTTACTTTTTTCGCTTTAATTTCAAACAATGATTTTTTATTTTCATAGTTAAATATTTCATAAAGTATATATAGCATTACTATATCTTTCGATTCAATTTTTGGTTTGTCTGTTCTGCTTCTTCGTTATTATTATTATTAATATTATTACCTTCCGCCTGACGATTCGTTTATGTTTTGTTTGTTTTTTATGAACGCTTTTGCTAATGTTTCAACAATTTTTTTGTGTTTTTGTTTTTGTTTTTGTTTCACTTTTACTTTTACTTTTTTACGCAATTATTCAACTTGTTAAAAATCTATAACCATAACAATTTCATATATATATCTGTATATATATGTTTCTTGTATATATTTCCTCTTATTTACTTTGCTTTAAAGCGAGACTTCTACGGCCACTCGACATTTGTTGTGTGTTCGGTGTGTGTGTGTCTGGTGTGCGTTTCTGTTCTCAATGATTCGTGGGAATATGGGTGTAAATGTCGGGATTATCCTTTTCCTTTCCACGGAGGATATATGAGAGAAGTGCCTCGGAACTATCGTTTCGATCACAAACAACAAAGCTAAAGTTCATAGTTTGTTAACAATTTTCAAGTGGAAAAATCGTCATGGCTTTTGTACCTATTTTATAGACAGAAGAAGAGTGGGGGCGCGATATGTGTGAGAAATAGTTTTTCATGTGAGTGAGTGTGTCTGAGTGAGGGAAAATCTTTAGTACAAGTAATTGCTGGGTGTGCTTTTCCACGTTTTGTTAGGTTCTAATAAGATGTAGTTAAGTATGAGTGTATTTTCCTCTTTGTTTTATATAATAAATATGACTTGGTTTTAAAGTTAATTTGGAAGATATTTTTTTAAAGGTTTTTCTATTCGATTTTTGTTTTTGTTTTTTGTTTTGTTATTACGTTGTTTTTGTTGTTTGTAGTTAAACATACAGCTTGTATAAAAGTTTAAGTTAATTTGTTGTTTGTTCTTTTTGGAAGTTGTCTCTGTTAAAGCCCGCTGACCGAGGCAATCCTACTTGTGAGAAGTGAGCTTGCTAGTTGGGGATATATACGATGCAAGTGCCTCCTTGTATATATCGATGGACTAAAGTTTACAATTTTTATTTAATTTCTTTTGGGAATTTCGAGAGGTACAATGAGAAAGGCTGGGAGAGGCTGAGAGGTAAATATAATGGGCTAAATTACTAGGCTTTCAAAGAGAGCTTAAGAGAAGAGAATAACTATATACTGAGAGCAGTCAAATAGTAACTGAAATTATGGGAATGCAGTAGAAGTTCTCATAGATATTCTTAGGTACTTAAAAGAGCTTTAAAGAAGGACTTTTTTAAGAGATATTCTTCCTATCTAAATTAATACTTTTTAAAGGAAATCTAAAAGTGTGAAAAGTATATATATTCAAGGCTGCTTCTCAGCCAGCTCTCGGCTGGTCTTCTTAATGGGCCAAGGATTGTGTTGTCATGATGTTGTATGGTGTGGAGAGGTTGTGACCTGATGTAAGCCTCGTTCAAGTTTTATACACTGTCTCCAGCTCTCGTTCCCTGCTCATCTTCAGCGCCAATCTCCGGCCTCTCGTCCATATCCTATATGCGTTTTATAATTATTATTATTTATTTATTTATATGGTATTTATAACTGTGTGCAGTTGAATGCACAGCACCCATGGGGTGTAAGAGCAGCCATTAAGTTGCATTAATTCTGCATCGGCATCTGTTTCTGCTTTTGCTTCTGTTCAGTGGAGGCAGCATCTCTTATATATATATATGTATATATATTTTCCATGCATATATAATTATTTCCGATGCGTTACAACTGCCGTTGTTCGATTTATTTTTGCATTGAGACTCACATATCGTACAGAGGAGTATATATAGTGCGATGCCATTGCTGCTGCTTCCTCTAATTCATAAAAATTATTGCTTTCTGTTCGAGTGTATCTCTGTATCTGTATCTGTATCTTTGTATCTGTATCTTTGTATCTGGATCTGTGTATCTGTATCTGTGTGTGTCTTTTGTGGGTCTGTCGTTGCCTTAACTTGACTGCGAGCCATATGCAAACGTCTGGATATCCGTTAGATACATTGCCTACTTAAGTATAGTTGCATATATATATATATGTATATAGTAAGTTATCTTCTGTTATATATAAAATATATATATGTATGTATGTATATAATTAGGTGTATATATGTATGCGTTTTATGTTAATTTACTTGGATTTCGCCTCCAGTTAGCATTTCTTTGCGGCCATTTTTAGGGGTTTCTTTAGTTTTTAGTTTTTAGCTTTAGAAAAATGTTACGTACCTTCTAAATAAAGAGAGCAAGTTGATTTTGTTTCATATTTTCGTTAAATATATCGTCTTATATGTCGTTTATATATAAATACGTTAATATGCTCATATATATATATAAATATATATATGTACTTGGGGGACTTCATTAAGCAAAAAGTATATGAAATTAGTTTCCTTAGTTTTTTTTTCTTAATTTTTTTGTTCGTTTTTTAGGCTTAGTATTTGGTTTTTTTTGTTTGGATTCGAAATATAGTCTATATAATAAACATGGTTTCAATATAAAGTTAAATTTAAACTCTGCTCCTCTCCTCTACACGCCAACAAGAATCAGAATTGGAATTAGGATCAGAACTAGAATCATAACCATAACTAGAATTAGGAATTAGAATTAGGAATTAGGAATTAGAATCGGACTCTGGAATCGGTTGATAATATAATCGATAATCATAATGCTCTGGTTCGGATGTATGGCAAATGTTTTAGGTAGTAGCATTCCCTACGTGTTCCGAGTATATATAGCTTATTCTTTTTTGTTTTCTTTTGTTTCTCGATTCGTTCGTACGCAAATTATCACTTAATCAATATATATTTATATATATATATATATAGTATGCCATGTAAGTGTGCGTGTGAGTGGGGGGTATATAAGTATTATGCGTACAAGTCGTAAACTAGATAGAGTTTAGAGATAGAGAGAGGCTCTGGATAAAGCTTTAGGAGAAAATCGTAGTAGAGCACGCAACTGAAAGGCATTTGCTCGATCAAACACAAAACACGTTTGTATGTCATGTATGCGCTCCTCGCTCCACATTCTATCCCATCATATCGTTATCAATACCGTATCGTATCGTATCGTATCGTATCGTATCATTCATACCGTATATAGGGGGTGCCCATTTGTGCCAAGATATCGTATATATATATTCGTAGTTAAAACCCAAATAGCTTAGATAGTTTAGTAAGAGATTGAGAGAGAGAGTGGTCGTGGTTGGGAAGCCATTGTCTCGCTAATATATGGTTTGTAGGTAGAGATAGCAGATACGATAGCTGACAGAGGATAGTGGACACAAGGATCGGGAGCAAAGGTTTTGTTTTTTCTTTTCTTTTGTAGAGTATAGGGTGTGTGTCGGTGTAGGGCTTGCGTTAAGAAGCTGCGCGGCTAACACTTTAAAGTAAATGTCTTTCGAAAAAGAAACGCTGGCACTAACTAACTCGCATTTGTTAACGTTAAGTTTCATCATCATGATGTGTGTGATTGTGTCTGTGGCTGAGTGAGTGTCTGTGTTGTGTCCTGTATCCTGTGTGTGTATGTGTGTTTTAACAATTCGATTATTTAGCTGTAGTCCTTGTTTGTTAATTAATTTACTATCCGTTCATTAATTCGCTTGTATATAGTTTAGCTAACTGGATGTGAGGTTGTATCCTTTGGGGCACCCTCCTCCTGGATCCTCCGCATTCGCATCCATTTTGAACACCCGGGGTGTCCACGGTAACTGCCCGGTATATTTGTCTTTGTCCTTGCCCCCTTACACGGGGCAAGTGATTAGATCGTATTCGAACATCAGCGAGACGGCGACAAAGACAAAATACAGCAGAAACATGGTGAAGCCCAGTCCCTTGTTCATGCGCCAGCGGAAGCAGGCTATCGATAGCACCACAAACACCAGCATCATAAACAGGATGGTTATGGAACAGACCATGCCCACCGAGTTCACCTCCACGGGTGCCCCATAGATGATGCCATACAGCAGCCACGGTATGGGCAGGCTATCAAAAAGAGAGGGGAAAGAGGGGATTCATGTCCAGTCTTGCCAATGGGGTAATGTTTATTAAAGCCTCCTCCATGGTGCACACACTCACCCCACGGTCACATCGAATATGTTGCTGCCCACGGAACTGGACACGGCCATGTCGCCGAATCCCTTGCGTGCCACAATCACCGAGGTAATCAAGTCCGGAATGGATGTGCCCGCTGCCAGGAAGGTCAGGCCCATGACCTATTGGTTTGGAAAGAATGTGATAGAAAAAGGGTTAATCAGCTGCAGGTTAAGGGAGGAGAAAGCTCCCCCTAAAATCAAACTCGAAAACCAACCAAAACCGCCTTGATATCTTTAAGCTTTAGTTTCAATATCTTTTATTGAAATCAACTTAAATTCTTCAAATAAAAGGGCAATTTTGGTGGATTCATGGAATAATCTTCTCCTGAATGTACCTCGGGCGGAATTCGTGCCGTGTCACCGGCCACATTGGCCCACCAGACCATCAGGTAGGAGAAGGCAGCTATCCACACAATGGAGCCTATGAAGGTGACCGGAAAGAAGCGCTTGCCGCGCGGCGTCCGCGTGTCGGGCAGTGTTAGCCACATGGGCACCAGAAGTGGGGCCACCAGGACATAGGTGAGACGCTTTCGCGCCGTATCCGGCCAGGCCATGCTTAGTGGTTCCGGCTCATCCTCGATTTCGGGCGCCTTTTTTGTGTTGGGTTTTTTGGGAGATAGAGATACGATTAGGGCTTGGACCGTAACTGGACTGCAGTCGAGTTTGTTAGATGTTAGTCTTAGCCATAGTATATGGTTAAATATATATGTATATTTATATATAATATTGAATATATAATACGGAATTTGTTTGTATAAAATATATAGTAAAAATGTGGGTGTTGTGAGTGAGTGAGTCAGTGGTGGGTGGTGGTGATTGATTCGATTCGATTCGGTCTCTGAGGTGAAATGCTTTCTGAGCTATGTTTACAGATGGGTCATGAGTCGGATTAAACTGTTGGTGGTTGGTTGGTTTACTTGGATATATATATCAAAAATTTCGATTCCCGGCTTTGGGGGGAGAACTCACTCACAGACAGGCGGAGATCGGATTGTGAATCAGGGGGGTAGGGTATCGGTATCGGTGTCAATATCGAGTTACTTAGTGTGATACGAGTTCCAAATGGATGCACTTACTTCTACTTAGCGGGGCTACACAATTACGAGATGCGATGCTGATTGGTGCTGGGAGGAGGAGAGATGGTTGGACTTAAACGTGAACGTGCAGAGATCAATCAGCATCGCGGGTACAGTGGTGCTACGGTGCATTCGTACAGTGGGCATGCTCAGTAAGTCTAGTCTTGCAAGTGCAACGACACACACAGTCTACACAGAGTCGATCGGAGGCGATCGGAGTCGAGAGAGATATATCGTGAACGAAAGTAGAAAGTAAAACCGATTAAAAGGAGTGACTAGATCTATAGTTCATATCACTAAGCTACTCGAGCTCTACTACAGTGTAGGTGTGACACATCATAACAGCAAGTGGTGAGTGCGTGTGGTATATCATTATATGTAGTATAAGTATTATTATTATCAGTTAGTTAGTGGGTGACGGTATTCGGTGGCCTTGCAAAATGCAACAACTAAGTGGAAATTTATATGCGATCTACACACTCCTAGCTCCTGGCCAGTGTCCAACGTTTGACTCAGATTTACCACCTGGTTGGAATCTCTGTATTCTATATTCGGGTTTTTATCGGTCAACACCGCCACAAATATGGGTTAGTCATTAACAGATTGCGGTTTCTGAACTTGGGTATTATGGGCAATTATCATTAATCATCACCTTGTTTTGATGTGTTGTAATTTACGATATCAAAGGGTTATTATTGGCGTCTATAATTATTTGTAGTATATTAATGAGAGAAAACCATTTAATCATTTTGATACTCTATAGAAATTGTATAATTAGTAATCTCTTTTTTAAATTGATTTATTTTGCTATGATTTCATTTGATTAAATTTACGATATTCAATTTAGATGCGCCTAATGAGTAGAAGATTCGTTTAATCTTCATAAGAAACTACTAAAAAGTAATATATAAATATAGTATATGATCTCTAGCTTTATTTCAGATTCCAGATTATATAAATTCCAGTTCAAACGAGGCTACTGCCAAGGAGCTTCAGTGTTCGATTCGCGTGCCTTTGTCCGATATTCTCTTTGTTATTTTTTGTAGAAAATAATGAAAAAAAAAAATAAACAACACTTTCATTGTTTACGATATATAGTAGTTGTTGTTAGAAATGATAAAGATCGTATGCAATATATAGAAGAGCGAAGATAGGTAGATATAGAGAGAAAGATAGATAGAGAGAGATCAATAAAAATTGTTCATGAAACTAACTTTGATGCTAAATTTGCGTGTCTGAATTTTGACCCTCTGCTCAATCCAGCTAGGACGTCGACCACTCAACGATGGCTTTAGGTTGATTTTTCAAGATATATAATACAATATATATATATAATATATTTTTGCATTGGGGGCAAGTATTTTGGGAGAAGAGTACACATTTAAATAAGTAAATATTTCATTTTCCGCTCTTCTGCGGCCAACTTCTCAATATCAGATCAGTTATGGAAATAAAACTTTGATTAAAACTTAAGCTGTACGGTAAAAAGTTGAAGACTTTTGGGGGGATTAGACAGAAAGATAGATAGTTTTTTGTTTTTTTTTTTTGGAAAAACTGTTCGCAATGTGTAGAAGAGAGAGATAGAGAGAGGTGTGGGGAATCGGGGAATTACGTAACAAACACATACGGAGTAGGAAAGAGTTGAAACACAAACACAGTTTCCTTTTGTTGTGTAGAGGGATTTTCTTTTTTTTTTTTTAAGTTTTCATCAAGAGCGAGGGCCAACTCGGAAAATAATTTGGTTTAAAGCGGCCTCCGGGGGGGCCAGCCATGTTGTGTCTAATTGTGAGTCGAATTCAAAATGACGGTGGCGGTATTTGAGGCGAGTCAGCACCTCAGAATTTTGTTTGTTTGCTTTGTGATCTTTGCATAAATCAAGAACAAAAAAAAAAAGAAAGAATGTAATTAATAATCAACTAGGAAGCGGGATTATCCTCGGCAAGCCGAAGTCTAAACACCCTTGCAGATGGAAGTAGATTTAGATGGATATATTTATCAGAAAGCCTTGCAGTTATATAGATAAAGTTTTGGAAAAGCGATGTGTTTTCATTAACAATATTTCTTGTACTATAAATACTTTTTCTAAGCTCTTTCTTTTTAATATTACTATGTTTTCCTTTTTAATATTCCTATGTTTTCAATTTAATTTAAAGACATAGATATTTGGTATTGAAACTTGATGTCTTCTGTCAAACCTTTCTTACGATATTCAAATCATTCTCTAAGAACCTAATATAATTTAATAAATATATCACATCAATACTCTCTGAATATAGGTCTTTAAAATGATTTTCTTTTATAAAGTTAGTGATATAATCGAGGTGTTCAAAAAGTCTAATGCTGAGATCATTACTGAGATTCAAATGAATGTCGAAACGGAACTCCCTGGGAGCCTCTGCAAGGGGTAAAGTGGGTTGTGCTCTCAATGAGCATCCGGAATGCAATGCTACTAATGTCTCTTTGACTTGGCTGATATTTCTTTATATTAAATACTGTTTAGCTGATGGGGGGCCAAAGCCAAAGCCAAGTGCTTTGCGCCTATGCATAAAAATGTTGGCTTTAACTGAGAATATAAGCGAATATTTACGGTCACACACACTCGATGGGGTTGGGGAGTGTGGTGCTGCTGCCTGCGGTGGGTGTGTGTAATATCGGTGGTTTTGGGCGCAGCTACTTTGCATTGGAATGACTGCATCGCATCGCATCGCATCGCACATCAATGAAATATGAATGGAAATTATAATATGCTCGGCGCAATAATGTCTGGGGTTCTCCCCTCATCGGTATTGTTCGGTATTTATTGTATATATATATATATATATGGTGGAGTGGTGGGGTTGTTGGGGTTTTCAACGCTAGGTACGAGTAACGAAATTAGGTAAAAGACACAAAGCAAATGAGTTCCAAATGGGTCATACGGTACGAGTATACGAGTATGCAAAAAAATTTCACTATTCCGAATTAGCTCTTCTTATTATTCTGGGGCAAGACAAAACACACACACAGATAGAGAGAGATAGAGAGATATATAGATTGATAGAATAGGAAGAATAGATTGATAGTTCGATAGAGATGGATGGATAGATGTGGCCATGAAGGTACTCCGTAGGATGGCAAGAGAGAGATAAACATACACAAAACCAAAAGGATAAGACAGAGGGGAGTGGAGTGGAGTTGAGGCGTGTGTTTTGTGACAGATAGAGATAGATATAGAGTGTGTGGGCGTGTGTGTGTGTGTGTGGTGGGTGGGGATGGGCTGTGGGCGGTGGGTGGGATCGGTATTTCTTTTTGAACAGTTGAATGGAAAAGAATTCGGGCACAAATCGTTGTTTTAGTTAAAGTCAAAGTTAAAGTAAACCGAAAATCCATAAAAAAGTCACACATAAACGTTGCATAAACACACAGACAGATCTTTATCGTATATATTTCCTTGGTTTTTTTTTGTTTATTTAGTTTTTCCGGAGCGTACCTAAAACACACTTATATTTATGCAATAAACATTTTTTTTGTTTTGGAAATGAAACCGACATTAAAAACACCAGTAGGAAAACATCAAAACGGAAAGGAGAGGGTATACATCAAAACATATATAATTTGTTGTTTGTGGTTTTTTTTTGGGAAAGGTCATAAAAAACACACACCATGGTTCAGTTTAGAATCAGTTCAAACGTTGCTTCAATCGGTTAACCAATCAGTTGCTCAATCAATCAATCAATCAATCGATTAGCAATGCAAGGAAACATGCCAATACAGCTAGAATTGGAAAATGGTGTGTTTATATTTTTTGTAGGTCGCTTGAACTGGTCGCTAAACCCTGCCTGTCTGGCAAAACTAGGTAATACATCAAATTGGAGTTGGTTTTTGCCGGTTTTCATTTCATTTTCGGGTTTTTTCGTTGGTTTTTGGGAAATACAATTTTTACGATATTCGCATGAAGGAGCTTGCAATGTGTTTAAATAATATATAAGCCTACTATAAGCTATGATTTGGTGTCACATTGACTTTATACTGTGAAATCTGGCTTCCATTTGTAGAATTTTACTTTAGAGCCTTACGATATCCAAATACGATATTAGATTTTTGTAAATTTAACTATCTATGTTTGTTTAAATTCAAGATAGCAAATATTTCTTGTTTACTATATTCAAATCACAATATTTGAGTGAAAATATTTATTTTACGATATTTAAAAATTATTCCTAACTAATATCATCTATCAGCGGTAAATAAATATCCTTTATATGATGTCCGATATTGCCTGAATTGTCATTTAGTCGCTTGTATGAAGAATGCAGCGCATTTTGTGTGACACAATCAATTAGTTGTATATATTTTTTTCAAAACATAAAAAACAGACAATAATAATAGTAAGAAACCATAATATTTCCAACTGAAAATCATGCCTAAGGAAAATCATGAGCATCATAAATTATTTCATTAGCACTGCGTACTCGAAATCAAATGGCAATGGATTGAAGTTGACTTACCGAGTCGAGGGTGGTGTCGATATTCCCGTTGGGACGATCCCCGATGGTGGTCTCCTTGAGGTTGATCTTGACGTGATTGGCCGCCGAGGTGGTGGCACCACCGCGCTGCGGCTTGGTGGCATCCAGCAGCACCTTCAGCGAGGCGATGGCGTGCAGCTGTGTCGCCTTCTCGTCCACTTTGCCTGGAACATCATCTTTGTCATTGTAATTGTGTGTTGTTTTTTTTATATTTTTTGCGAGTGTTTTCGAATAAATCGATAAGAAATGCAGTGTTTATTGTTGTTGTTGTTTTTTTGTTGGTACACAAAACACGAGAGAGTGTGTGGTGGTGTTGGTTGGTGGTGTTAGAATAGCGTTGTTGTCGTTGAAGAGTAGTGTGTGTGTGTGCGGTTACGGTATTCGGTTTTCGATATTGGTTTTTTTTGTTGACACACAACGAATTGAGATTTGAACGCAAAATCCAAGTGTTTTTTATTTGATATTTTGGTTTGGTATTTTTTATTATTTTTTTGCGAAAAATTAAAAAAGAAAAAAAGAAGAAAAAGGAAAGAATAAAATTGCATCGATTAAAAATTAGAAATAAACGAATTAACCCAGTTACGAGTTCATTTTCAGATTTCTTTAGTTTTGTTTTCATTCTTAGAGCTTTTTAATTTACAAAGAAATTCATTTTGGGGGATTTTTATTTTTGGATTGGATCGTTCATATACGCAAATATATGTCTATATGTATATTGAAAATATTTTATACAAAATGTTGATGTCAGTTGCGAGACAGCATTTGGAGGTTGCTTTGAGTAAGTCGAGACAGTTACGGGGTTTAGCGGATACGGATAAAGTCTAGTCTATAGATATTTCTTTTTTAGGGATAGGGTTTTGACAGAACAGAGCGGTATATAGAGAGAGAGAGAGACGGAAAGAGAGAGAGAGCGAGAGAGCGAGAGAGATAGAGAGAGCGGGGGGGAGCAGACTAGAACTACGACTAGATCTAGATATAGTAACTAGGACTAGGCTAGAGATCACTACTGATATTTACCGTGTCAGAGGCTCTTGGTTATTCGGTCTAACTTTGTCTCAGAATCGGATCCGATTCGATCTATTTTGAGTGTGAACTTGTGTTTTGCACTAAGAGCTGATTAATATTTCGATCTGGTTTTTCATGATTATGTTTAAGGGATCGGACGGCGGGGGATTATTCTGATGGCTTTTCGATTTTCAATTCAATTGGATTCAATTCAATTCGATTCGATTGGATTTTTCTGTTGTCAATGAACGGCATGAAGTTTGCTTTTGAATTTACATTTTCTCTTTCAGGGGAAGGCTAAGTTTATTTATATTTTTATTTTTGTTTGCAAAAGAGACCCCTTTCTATAGCACGCCTCTAGCTATATACATATACATATGTGTGTATATATGTACACGATTCCATTGGACTTACAGCTAATCTAAGCTTAAGTTTCTATAGATCACTTCTGTATGTGCTTAGGTCACTAAAACTATGTTTATCCTATCAATAATTTTCTTCTTTTCTCATTGTTTGATATACAGACCTAGAGAAAAACATGCTCATTTAGAGAACTGAGAGCAAAAGCACGACTAGATTTTTATTTTGGGATGGGAATTGTATTCTTAACACCTGCTGGCTGGCTAACTTAATTAATTCAAACGAGATCAAGGTACGGTGACAATGATTTCCGCCACTTCTTGGCCGGATTTCCAGGCTGTGCAGGTCCCAAAAACACAATTCCCATACAACGAGCATAAACGAGTTGAAAGAAAACGCACAGTACATATATAAGTAAACAATATTTTTGACGAACATTCCAGTGACAAAAAGCGATCGGACCTATGCAAAAACAGCCTCTGAAACAAGCTCGACTAGTCGCACATGCACCGGAGCTCGTTAATTGTTTCAATAGTTTTCTATCTACCCGAATGTGTGTTGTGTGTGGATGGGTGTTTAGTGTACAATGTATCCGAGTCTGGGCTCGACTTGTGGCAAAACAGCATTGCTGCTGGCCAATTGTACTAGTTGCTAACTAATTACAATTTCCAATTACAATTACAATTACGATAATGATTACGTTTAACACATACAACATTAAAAACGCATAGTTCAATATGTACAGTATAAATTGTTTTGTTTTTGTCACGCGTCAAACTCAACTCAACTCAATCTGGCAGCAGTCGATGGCATAGGTACTAGTATTGAAGAATATTTTAAAATTCTTATATTATATATAGTATATCGTGGTCAGAACTTGGTACGTGTGCCATTGAACTGCGCCAGCAAACTCTAGGAATTTATGATAATCTCTCTAGGCTCTAAGATATATAACGCATATGTATATATATATTTATATAGATATTGGTATAAATGTAACTCCAAACTGACATTGAACAACATAAAATATTTTCTTTATTTTTGGTTTCAAATTTCTTGTTTTTGCTTTTTTTTTTATTATTGTTTCATTCTTTGGTTTTGTTGTTTGTTGCAACAAAATGAAAAACAAAGCCGAAAATAAATCAGTAAATAGCATTTCGTTGAAGCATTAGCAACTGAAGGCGAAAGAATAAACACCTGCCCCTGCCTGATCTAACAAACTAACTCTGATATATTCACTTTGGGTTATATAGATACAATAACTGAATCATCTAATTAATGGTAAACGGTTTCGTGGCTTGTACATGGGGAATTTCTGTCTAGAGAGCCCTGCGGTCTGTGTTGGATTTGACAGGATTATGCGATTGGTAATATATTCTAGATAGTTTAATTAATCATTTTTAATTGTTCTAATGGAATCTATTATTTTGGAGCTTAATAACGTTGTATTGTTAGTACTTGAGCAGCGATTCATTGAAGAATAATCTAGGGGAAATTGTAGATTTATTAATTATTCCCTTTTCTGTTGGGGCCTATAATATTTTTTAATGATATGTATAAATATTTCCCTTAGTAATTTAATTATAAGACTGACAGGGAAATCGACTTAATTGGAGCATTTAAAATTTGAATTCTATTTTAATTAGCTTGCGCATTCTTTCCCTTAATTACACCCGAGGGCTCGAATATTAAAATTGTTTGTACTAAAAAAAATAAACTAAACTAACTTTGGGAAGCCGAAATCTGCATACTGAATTTAATAATAAAAAAATTAAAATTTTTTGCCAAATTTTTGTCAATTATTACAATGTAACCCCTTAAAAAATTTTTAAAATTTTGAAAAAATTTAATTTTTCTGAATCATGGCTAGATCGATTCAGCTGTTGATGATGATCAAGAAGTTATATGGTTTATATGGTCGGAAATGACTCTTTCACCAAATATCACCTAAAATATGTCCTCTATATGAACTATTAATCAATATTTTTACAGGTTAATTTTTTGTATAAAATCCAGTTGTTAATATATCATAACTAAGGCAAAAATGCTCTAATTTCATTTCGGACTTCAACTCTGTGCTAGTTTTTTAAAGATTAACAAACTTGCATACTCAGTTTAGGATTTTTAAACAATCAATTTTTTTGTCAATTTTTCATAACTTTTAAATGACAATTTTACCCCATAAAAATTTTCAAAATTTCGAAAAAATTTAATTCTTGTCGGACATGGCTTAATCGATTCGGCTTTTAACGCTGATCAAGAATATATATGGTTTATAGGGTCGGAAATAACTCCTTCTCACCGTAATAAGCGACTGACTATAATTATAATACTCTGCAAGGGTGTATCCTAGCCTTTTAAATTTAAAAACTCTTTATATATTAAGGAAAGGGGAATAAGAAATCCTTTATTTAATTGCAAAAGAACAGCTTGATGGATCGATTTATTGGCACCTAAATAACATATATATTTTCAATTGATTTTGGATTGGCATCTGAAGGTGAAGGCTACGCTACAATTTCCAAGTATTCGATGCGAACAGAACCTTCCCCAGCGATTTTTCACCTGCCCGCGAGTTGAGGTAGGCCCACTTGGAGCTACACGAATTCTAACACCTCGCACCTGCGAACCTTGGCGAGCACGCCCCTGAGTGTGTTGCCCCTCATTCCTAATCCAAAATCCGACGTGGTTCGCTGTGTGGGCCATTGCCGTGGCAACGACACCGACATCGACAGCGAGACCTTCCTACAAATTTTCCACATTTTTCATGGGTAGATACACGACCGAGAGCCTAATCCATACCAAATCAATGGTGGAAAGTCATCGGGGCCAAGCTGATTGGAAACTTTGCACAGAACTACAGACTCTATCCTGTTTTTTGGGCGGATATTGATATCGCGATGACCTTTCCCTTCCTGTGTGTTCTACATCAAAAAGGAAGCGGAAGGGTTGAAGCCCCTGGCTCTGTTGCTGCCCCTATTTTCCCTCCTATTACTGCTGTTTTTTTGTGCTACTTTTTTGCTTGTTTATTTTTTTTGGTGTTAGTTCGCGTCGACACTCCGTCTGGGCCTGGCGTGCTAATTAGGTAAGTGGCTCCAAGGTCGCCATTAAAAAAGTGAACCAAAGGCAACGAAAGCTAAAACCAAATTGAAAGAAAAACAAAACAAACCGAGGCAAAGAAGAACCGAACGGAACTGAGGGCAACAACGCAACGTAAAAGCGAAATGGAAGTGAAAATCGGAGCATAGACATAGATACAGATACAGATACAGATACAGATATAGTAATTGGGCAGAGCGGCAGAAGTGGAAGGATGAGCGAAAGTAACTTCTGGCTGGCAAGTCAAACATCCAATTAGAAGAACACAGAATATTGTATACAGAGTTTTTGAGGAAACACAATCGAAACAAAAACGTAGAACGAAACTGAATAGAACGATTTTGTACTTTTTTGGAACAGAGATATAGATAACAGGTAAAGGTACAGGTACAGAGTATATATAGTATAGTATATAGTAGTAGTAGAGTTTGAATGTTATATTGCATTTGTATATTTATCTTATATTGGATGTAAGCGTGGTGGTCTGGAATTTTCACTGCGACGAAAAATCTCAAGTCAGGAATGGTTTTTATTTCACTTCATATTAAATATAATGAAGCAGCTAAGCCTTGAATCACTTTCTATAAATATTTACTGAATGCTTAACAAAACACATATATTTATCAAGGGTGTAACATAATTATATTGTATTTAGAATGTATGGCAATGCAACTTCACTGCCAATATTACTCATACGCCCTGTATACTTGGTTTCATTTGTTTTAACATTAAACAATAAAGAATATGAGAGAGTTATTTATTGATTAATATTTAAAGAAATACTAAATGTATTTAAACATTAGGTTCAGGCAAATATTGTTGTAATCTTTTCTTTTCGGTAATGCAACTTTATTGCAAAAATTACTCATACGCCCTGTATCATTTGCTTTAAAATTAAACAATAGGGAATATGAGAGGCTTATTAATATTTAAAAACAAAAATACTAAATGAATTTTAACATTAGGTTTATGCAAATATTGTTGTAATCTTTTCTTTTCGGTAATGCAACTTTATTGCAAAAATTACTCATACGCCCTGTATACTCGGTTTCATTTGTTTCAAAATGTAACAATAAAGAATATGAGAGATTTATTTATTGATTAATATTTAAAAAATACTAAATGTATTTAAACATTAGGTTTAGGCAAATATTGTTTCAATCTTTTCTTCTCGGTAAAAATATGTATTTCTTATTGAACATCTCAGTTAACGTTTTGTACAGAAAACTTCTGCTTTAAAATCGGATTTTTTTTAATATTAATTATATATATTGGATTCTTATGATTTAGTTAATTATTCCTGATTTTCTTAAGATTTTTCCCTCAGTGCTGAAGGAGTTAGGGAAATGGAGTTGGATCTGGGACTTGGAAAATGGGAACTAGAGGCCTCAGGACCTCTGGGGGAGTTGCGGACTTGAGGTGATGCGGTAAGCGGGGACTTTCATTATGGGAACTTTTAGTTGCTTTTATTGCCAATTTCTTTTTATTTATTATTATAATATATATTTTTTTTGGCAATTGGCATTGTTATTTTATTTATTTTTTTGGTTGGCTTTACTTGTGCAAAACACACTGTGGCAACTCAACGGACTTACCATCGTGTAGTGGATCTATCGTGTGTATCATTAGCTGTAACAGGCCGTGGCGGAACTTGGCGCCGGTCTGAGTACTACCCGAGGTGCCGCCCCCGCCGCTGCTATTACCTGTGGCGCCCGCGTTGCTCGAGCCCGGCGGACCCGAGCGGGTTTCGCTTGCCGCACGCGATGTCACCGAGCCGCCCGGCTGGGTGGCCATCGATGTTTCCGAGGAGTTGGCCGCATTACCCTGCAGGTGAAGGAACGGAACGGAACAGTGGGTGGCGGTGGGTTTTTTTTTGGTAACCATAACGGCATACGGTTACGGTTACGTTACGGTTACGTTTACGGATTGGGGTTTTTTTTTTTTTTATTTGATTTAAGTTTTTCGATTGATTTTTCGAGTTGTGGTATTTTTTTCGAAAGAGCGGTGTAATGTTCATTTTTTTGTTGTTTTTTTTTTGTTTATGGTAAGCATATTTTGAGAAAAAGGTGAAAAGAAGAAGAAGAAAAGTTTATTATTGCAATTTGTATAAATTTACAAGTTGAGTGTAGCTTTTTTGTTGTTGGGGATTTCTTTTTGAACTGTCACATGTTGCTGTAGTTGTAGTTTTGTTCTGGTTGTTGTGATTTCTGTTGTTGTTGTTGTTTTGGTGTATGCTGTTGGTGTAATTGTTGTAGTTGTTGTTATTGTTGTTGTTGGTGTGTGACTTAGGAACTAATCGAATCGGTAAGTGCAAGTTAGTTGGGGAGCCAATATCTGAACGGAAATCAGAGAACATTAACTTAACAAAAAAACTTTAATAAACTGATAGAATGATTAAAAAAAAAAGTAAAACGACGTTATACCGTTTACCACAACATCCAACACAATACGTTTACGATACACGGACCACTTGCGATCGAACTGTGCAGCTGATCTAGGGAATATTTTATATGATACAGTCTGGGGATCAGAGAGATACATAGATCGACAGTCTGGAACTTACATTCGATTGGCTCTTTGACTTTGGCTGTCAAAGGTTGGAGGATGTTTTGAGGAGTTAGAAATATATATAACAAGTTTCTGAAGGTTTTTTTTTCTTTGTGCAACAAAATAAACATATCGATCGGTGCCAAGTCAACGCTTTCATTTATTTACAGAAGGAAAGTAGTAGTAGTAGTAGGTGCTAAGGATCGATCTTGGAAGTACCTTCCCCTTTCGGAGTCGTATATATATATACACAGTAAAAAATCAAAATGATAAAAGTTCGGGGATGAGGGAAAACAAGAAGAAACGAGAAGAAAATGATGAACACACACTTTTCGTTGTATTTTTTTTTGGTCGTTGGAAATTTTTTCTGTTTGTCTGTTGCAACAATTTTTGTTGGGGTTGTTTTTTTTTTCTTTCTTTTTAAATACATACAAGCTTTATATGATTTTTTCTCTTTTGGTAATTTCTTTTCTTTGTATATATATATATTTTTTTAAAGATATATCTGTATTTGATATTTGTCAAAGCGCAGTGGGAAGTTTTGTTGTATTTCATTTTGCCTTCACTATAATCAAAAAGAAACAGATAAAACACAAAACACATTTGGAAAAACTTTGTCAGAGAACTGAAACCGAAAAGAATACATTTTCAATCGATGCGAATTAATTGTTGGCACATTAGCGAAGGAAGCGCAGGCAGATGAGGGATTCGGTTCGGATTCGGAATCGGAATCGGTGGGTTTAACTAATGCAATTGCAAGCAACTAACTTTAAGGCTACGAGAGTGTCCAAAAGGTGTACTAAATTTTACGATATATATACGATATGAGAGGGGGGGATGGTGACTAATGGGGACTCTAATGAATGAATGGAAACGATATGATAATTGGCCTGATATACCATATATATGCTTTAAACTGGTGTAAATGAGTCTCGGTTTTCGTAACTCCCCATTCATAAAACTGGAACTCGAACTGGAAGTGGACGTTGAAGAGAAACAGGTGCAGGGCAGGTCTTAACAAGTGGCTCGTGCCCAGGTGAACTACCCCACCACCGCGCTGATTATAATGCTAATTAATGCCCAGTCATGATCGAATACCTAATGGCTAATGGCGGGGTTTTCAGCTCCGATCACACTCATTCACGGTTCGGCCTAACTCACTCATCCATCCACTGACGCAAAGTCCCAAGGCACCTGTGAAATCCACTGTCTCAAAAGGGAGAAATCAAAGAGAAAAGAACTCTCTCTGGGTAGGTTTATTCACCTTCAACCTGTTCCCCAAGGTTCGATTAATTTTTGACACTGTAATTAGACACGAATCTATATTAGCTGCAGTTTGTTGTCGTGTATGAAATCACGCCAAAAGTATTTTATAATATCGAAAATTCATCACCGATCGCCAGAGACAAAGACGTTGTGCGCAGGGGGGTAAATTACGTTCGTTACCAAAGCGCTTAAATCACATAATGAATTATTTAAGTCCAGCATGAATCACACCAACACAGTAATTCGAAAATCAACTCAAGATTCAAGACACTCAAGCTCAAAATTTCGCCCCTGAGTGTTGACCTGAGTGATCGAAGAGATGCAAATCCGCAAGGCAAATAGACTCAAACTCTCGATATTGTCACTCAACCTGTTTGCTCATGATAGTGTAATTCGCTGACAGGTAGGAAGAACTGTTAACCTGTCCAGCCGGGGGAGGGCGACCCCGAAACCCGTTCCAAGAAATCTCGCAAATATTCCAGGTACTGTGACGTCCCAGCCCAGCATTTGTTTACGCTCCATGTTTGGAACTGAGCAAAACAAAAGCGAATGATAATACATATATCCACTGATAACCGGCTGATCGGATCGAACCGAATCGCTGTGAATCGGATGCACTCAGTGGCGAGCCGAGGCCCGGGCTTGAGCTCGGCTCCGCTGCGGTCGTTGTAATCCGAGTGTTTATATATAGCGCCTAAGTCCGCGCGAGCCTCACTTAGTTACGAATCTCAAACCGAACCGCATCGCAACGCGAGTATAGCCACAGCCACAATGTTTCAAAAAAGGATTATCGAACTGATCACGGTCCTCGTGTACTGGATGCTCCTCACGCCGTACATCTACAAGTTCTGCAAAGATCGCGATATTGTGAAGTTTAGTGCAGATCATCTTATTAGTTCCATGGGTGATCACTGCACCTTTGCCCTCTGCCTGATGATTGGATACGTGGTCTTCTACCGGGTCGTCATCTTCATCTACATGAAGTTCAAGGTGTGCGACATTCGCATGTGGGACGATCTGAAGCACGCCAAGGATGATCCAGAGGCGCACTTTGGCAAGAAGTCACACTACAAGCCTGTTTCCCTGGAGAATGTGGATGTGGTGGACTCACCACCAGGAAAGTTAAGGAAGACCAAAAGTATGGACTCCATGAAGAAGAAGGGTATCAAGCATTCGGCCTCGCCACCGCCAATGATCCGAACCATCAGCAATCCGTTGCTCATCGAGAGCGATTTGGCGCGCATCCACATCAAGCACGAGACGCGACCTTTGGAGAGTGCCACCTTGCCCAGACACCAGCAGCTGGCCCAGGTCCATCCCAGTCCCAATCCCAGCCTGAGGAGTGCACCACCCGTTCCCTTAATCGCGAAGAGCGCCACTTTGCCCAACAACTATGGTCACGGCGTGATCATGTCACCCAAGGTTCTGATGCCCAGACCTGAAGAGGTGTAGACATTAATCGCAGTGCAGAAACTACCTTATAATATTTATTTTTGGAGGTAGTTTATGTGACAGCATCAAGTATTAGCTACTGCCCAAAGATCGAATAGATAATCGAGAAATCACACGAAATTAGTCAAACACCACCACATACATTCCCCTGAACTCATTCCAGTTAGTGAATTCCTTAGTTAGTGAATTATATTTATGAATAAGACTGCTCCTGTTATCTGTGTTTAGTTATTTGAAACGCAAACAAACATTTATGCGTAATAAACATACGAATATTAATACGACTATTAATACGATAAAAGTTGAATAAATTATATATATTGTATTTGTGAAAACGATGGTTTATTTACTTAAAGAAATGGAGGGGAACTCTGTGTGCAAAAATTATTATTTTTGAGTTGCAAATTCACAGACTCGTTTTTGTTTCATGTCTACTTTCGGGGTCAAAAAATCCTAACCAAGGTAATTAGTGATTTCTATTTTAAGGATGTTTACTTTTGAAAGCCAATTCTTTAATTTTCTCATTAAACTGAGAATTATTGGATAAATTATTTAGCTCAATGACTTATATAACCGTTATATCCCTCTAGACTCATTTTCTAAAATATATTCTATTACAATAAATATCGTAGCTCTCAAACCGCTGCCTATTTGAAGGCGACTCAGAAATGTGAACAAATATATGGACATCACTATCTTAAACCTGCTCCTAAAACATATATTTAAATCGAATTTAATATTATATATTTTATTTCTCAATTCAAGTTGAAGCTGCTTAATGGTTTTTAAAGGTTTGTGCGCAAGGGATGTGTGTGTTTTACAGAGCAGGAAGCGTGGAATACAGAATATTGTTCTACGCATGCGTACAAATAGCTCGTTCTCTTTTCCTCTCATATCTTCCTTAACATTCACATTCACTCTCACACTCGCACTCACGCAGCATGCGACCAGGTTCGAGTCTCGACTGAAGATCAAGATCAAGTTCAAGCTGTGTTTTTGTGCAAAAACGGTTTCTTTCTGGGTTAAACACACTCGCATGCAGAGTTCTTTTGGGGCAGGTGTAAAGTGTGTGTGTGTGTGTATGTGTGTTTAGTGGGTGTGTGTGTTTCAGTGAGTGTGTGTGTTTAGTGGAAGGTTTTATGTTTAGTGAGAGGAGTTTGGTGGATTCACACAAGTCGAGAGACGCATAGCAAATCAAACGTTGGACTAACAAATGGATTCGAAGCTAATACTAAAGAGGAAATCAGAAGACGAACTATAGTGAGTAAGATAGAAGAGAAATAGTATTTCGATAGCATGAAAGAATAGGAATAGATAATAATAATGATGATCAAAAAGTTAGCAGAACGTGGAGGTGCAACGCAGTGGAAATCAATCAGTTAGCAGGATTTATTAATATTCTGACAAGGGATTCAAAACACTAGAAGTATTTGAATTTATTTATTGAACAGAATAATATAGATTAATTATAACCCCAGAGAATTGCATTCTAGAAGTTTTATTTTATTTGCAATATATATCGTAATATTTTATATAATCATGACTTGAAATTCATTTGATACAAAATTAACATCACATTTTCAAATAGATCAAAACTATATCTAAAACACTCAATCTTTGGAAAAATATCTCATAACTAGTTTAGACTTGCTTGTGCCCAAATATATTTCTATTTATATTTTAAATTCCTACCCATAATCGTAATAGGTCATAATTGAATTGCAAACCAACCGTAAGGCTGCATTTTTCGAATATCTTTTCAAAAACTGGAAATGTATTTAAAGCTGCATGAGCTCAGTACTATTTAAATTGATGTTCGAGGATCTCAAATACTCAATCGATGCAAAAAAGTAAACCTAAACCGGTTAGTCTTAGCTTTACAATAGGTTTTTTCTAATTAGGCACTCCCTGAGACCGGTTTTTCCTGGCCGAGAGATCCCAGAGATGGATCTAGAAATGCCATATAGGTGAGCATTTCGATTTCGATTGGTAACGAAACCCCCAAAGTGGGTCAAGGAGAGCACTTTCTGGATTACCGGCAGGTGAAATTTTTGAGTGGAACTGCAGAGGAATCACTCTGAGTGACTGTCACCAGATTTATGGTGGCTTTCAATGCCAAAGAGAAGCAGCATCGCTTCAGATTCATTAGTCATGGACGTTTCATCGACGATTGCAACAACAGCAATGGCCCTTAGTCATAAAGATATCTGGTTGGTAAATACTAGTAACACCTGCTAACTGGTTAAAGTCCGGCACGCGCCAAATGCTCGCATGAGACTGAACTTGTGGATATGTGAAAATGTGGTGGTGATGTGGGGATGTGGGGATGGAGCTGGATGTGGGGGATTTCTGGGGGAGGGGGTGGGAAAAACATACACAAAACGAAAATCAAAAACGAAATTTCGTTCCTGGCAAAGGATCTTCGTTTTCGTTTTAACTTTGATTCTTTTCTTTTCATTTCTTATTGGCAAACAAAATTTTGGCTTTTTTTAATTTCGCTTTCTCTTTTACGATTTTCTTGATTTACGTTTTTTGTAATTGTTTTCTGGACATTTACATTTCAATATTCAAGCTTTCACTTTCATTATTTTTACGTTTTCAATTAAGAACATTTCGAGATAGAGAGAGAGAGATTTTTGTTGGAATTTTTATTTTTTATTTTATTGGACTGATTTTGAATTGATTTGATTTCTGAATTAATTTGTTGCAAAAAAACTTCCCAACTACTTACTGCTGGCATAAGTTGATCTGTACTTCGGACGCGAGTCACCTTGTTTTTGGTAATCATCTTCTTGACGCACGTCTCCACCTGGACATTCCACTTCATGAAGGTCACGTAGGCGATGTAGATGGTGAAAAGGATGAGCGCCTCCCACCAGAAGATGCGGTTGTCCCGGAAAAAGTAGATCAGCACCAGCAAACTGATGCTGTAGAAGGAGCAGTCACGAAATAGGGGCCACCACGTTAGCGATAGCACCGTCTTCGAGAACAGCGCACACATGCCGATCACAAACAGGATGTTGAACACGGCGGAGCCAACGATCGTACCAATGCCCACGTCGTCGAACGACACGAAAACGCCAATCACACTGGTGAAGAGCTCGGGGGCACTGCCACCCGCCGCCATAAACGTTGCGCCGGCCACATCGTCCGTGATGCCGAGCTTTTCAATGATTACGTCAAGGGAAGGCACGAAGAACTCATCGCAGACAATGGCCAGCGCCACAAACATATAGATCACCCCAATGATGTGCAGGATGACAGCGCCGTTCTCAAGCTGTTCTTTCGTGAATAGGTCTTTCGGGAATAGTGGCGTTTTCGTGGTGGTCGAGTTATCGTTGTGCGTGTCTGCAAGAGGAAAATTATAAATAATACAAAAAACATTAAAAATTTAGTATTTATAAGGGTAATTTTCAGGGAAGAACTTGATAGAAGAAGGGGGAGTAATGCATCAAATTCCACCTCCAAAAAACTTTACATTTTTACAATAAAATGCACGGAACGAACTTTGACTTAATTCTGTATAGGTTTAAATGCAAATTTCTTGGAAATTACAATTTTTCTAAAATATATTTTAAGGGATAGCCCATCCACTCCCTGTTTCCTAATAATTCCATTTAATTTTAATTGAATATCCCAAACAAATGTATAATTAATTTAATTTAACCCAAAGTTGTGATTTTTTGTTTTGTAATAGAGTGTAACATTCAATGGAAAGGGTGAATTTCCGGGAGGGATATTTCGCTGCTCGCTGTAATTCAAGTGAAAGAGGAAAATCAGGAAATCATAATTGAAAAGAATTCAGATTCAGCTACATTGATTCCCAGAAAAATTCTCCCACGTGCTTGAAAAAGTATTCGCATTGCGGTTTCACACATTTTTATAAGAAGATTATTTTAAATGATATCTTTATATTAAACATGATTAAATCTGGGTTCATGGTTACAGAGGAAAAGAACCACGAGAACGTGCTTAATATATAATGCAATCTTCAGCTGAAAATTTATTAAAAATAAACAAAACCGCTGAAGAATCACAAATATGACGAATTTGTGTCATTTTGCTGTCTGGTATTTTGACCTTTTGCAGTGCTACCTGTATCTGTGAATCGGATGGATACATCCCCCTATTAGACATCCTCATTTAAGTGGCTCGACCTTTTGGAAATAATACTAGTGATACTCCCTTGTCGCCAATATTGCGGCGCCTTTGGTGAGCGATTTTTATGGCAATTATTTCGTAAATTATGCACCGCATTTTGCAACAATTAACAAATTGCACTTATTTGCTGCCGACTTCGACTGCCTGCCGAATGATGATGATGATGTTGATGTTGATGTTGATGGTAAATGTTTGCAATGTAAATGTTTAACAATCATTTGCACTGTGAGCAATCATTTTGGCGCGTGTGCGGCAGGTAAATAATTAACGCGACTTTAATCGTCGTCTCAACTGATTCATGGCATTCGCACAGTTCTAATAAGTCGGCTTCGAAAGCCACAAAAGTCATCTTTTTATCGCTGACTTCTTAATCTCCAGTCTAGCATTGTTTGTTTTATATTTTTTTTAGTGTGTAACATTGTGCTTATGTTGTCATTGGAGAATGTGTGTGATGTGGCACATTCAAGGGCGGGAAAATGAAAGGGAGAAGGCTTGGCTTGGCATCAAAACTAAAATCTAGATCTCTAGAATCTTTTAAACTTTAGTTGAAAATTTGTAAAGATATTTTCGACCTTTAAGTCTTTTAAATGCCATTAAAAATCCTTCTAAAATAAAGCTATTTGTTATATCCTTTGAAAAAGATTGAATTTTAAACTTTGAAAATGTAAATTTATAGTTATTTTTTGTGTAGGTAATACAGGAGATCGTCTAGTCCAGGTCCCAGAAATAGATCCCCAGTTGACTCACAATGTTTTCGAACTGAGACGTTAGACTTGACAGACAGACAGCGAGGAAAAGTGCTCTATAACCGGTTTATTGGGCTCAGACAACGGACAGGCGGACTCCCTGCCAATTTGCCAATTTGCATGCAGTTAACGGACTACGCTAAGGTCCACACCCACAAATACACCCACGGGTACACCCACTTTCTGGAGAGGGGGGCGAAGGAGGCGGTAGGCGGGGCAACATCGAGCGTGAGCCACAACTGAATGATTCTAGTGAATCACTGGCCAAATGCTTAATGAGTGACGACGCTGCCGATTGAAAACCAACACGCTTTCAGGGCAGATACACCAGAAAAAGCTATATGATATAGTAATCCGATTTTCATAAAATGTTATACAAAATTCTTGATTAATACATAATAGCTACTTCATGAAAATATATTGAAAATTGAAAAATTAATAATATATATAATAATATTATATATATATAATAATAGAATATGTATATAATATATATATAATATATATAATGTATAGGTATATATATAGTCCACCGATTCGACATGTTTCGACTTATATACTAGTAAAATTATATAGAAGATTAACTCCATAGTTTCATTCAAATAGCTTAAATTTGTTCCAAAACAAATCCCGCACATCTGGGCATATGATTCCCAACTTGTTCTAACATCCCCGGAACGAAGTGACTGCTGCCGGCCATGTCTCAATAAAGTGTTGTGATACAAAAGTTGCAAGTCATTGTTTATTAGTGTTCAAAGTTAGTAAATGATCATAGTTACTTAATGTTCATAGATACTTAATGATCATAGTTACTTACTGAAAAAATATTAGATATATATCAGATATCTGGATAATTAGATATAAGCTTAAAGACCTTGCGAATTATGCTTTAATATTGTGTATTATCAAGAACCAACATTACCTTAGAATTTAATGGATTATAATATAAATAATCGTTTTATTCCTATTACAAAACCCATAATTAAACGCACTTTTATATACAATTTTCTTCAGTGTAGCTACAGTTATGGTATAAGAGGTTCTGGTAAGGGAACACCCTTCTGGCCCAAGTAAGTGCCTTGCTTATCAAACTGGATCATCGGCTCAGGAAATTGGCAAAGTGAACTTAGCACTGAGTTACCCAGACAGTTGTGAGTTGGTCAATGGGTTTGAAGAGGCTGCAATGCAGCAAGGATTCGAATCGGTTTAAGAAGAGCAAAAATAAATACAAAAAAGGAATTCCTAAAATTCTCTTGAAGCTGTTGCACTCATTGCATACATAATTACGTCTTTAAAATGAGCTATAAATATACGAGATACGTGACACCTGCTAAAATCGAGTTGCATTGAACTAAGGTAATAATTCGCTAATGATTCTTTACAATTTGAAGCAGCAAACGGCATGCATTTGAACAAGATACCTCATTAGTTGAATAAATAATTATAACTTGAAGGTAATTAGATATATGATACGTGATAAGAAGACGTTAGAAATCATGCTTAATGAACTACTAGAGATTAAAAGAGTGTCGATAAAGTCACAAAGATAACTATTGGCAGATAAAGATATTTAATTTTAAGCTTTAAATTCTACTGGATTTACATTTTAAGATATAATAATTCCCAGAAATTTTAATGCTTCACTTATTATCTCTTGGGCAAATAAGAAAATGGACCATTAGAGATTGGAAGAGTAACGCCAAGTCCAAGAGATAACTCTCTGCTGATTTCTTTTGCCCTAATGAATCACATACTTATAATTTGCCGTCTTATCTGAAGAATAAAATTACTAATTCCATGAAAATAAAAGAAAGCCGCAGCTAAAAATAACACAAGCGAGGGCCAAAGAAATAGATAAAAGGCTGGCTTTTATTACTCATATATAAAATATATCACTTAAACTTATGAATCCCTGGTTCCTCGACCATCTTGCATTGATTAAGTACGAGTATCAAAATGAATCCCCTCGACATTTCGATTACGCCATCGAGTCATGACTTTGAGGAGAAGATACTATGTATATGTACAACATCCTATAGACACGAGCCCCTCGAAGCAGCGTTGTTGGTCATCATGAAATTGTTATTGGGTTCACTCGATGGAGGTACCAAAATAATGACTATTAAATATTATTTATTATTTATTGTCTGTGATTATTTATTGCGACCATGTGGGCGTCTGCCTGCTCTCCACATACTTATTATGGAGTATGGAGGAGCACGGCGGCGATGGGGAAACCAGTTCCAAGTCGAAATGGCACCACAATTTGACTAAGCGATTGCAGTTGTCGTCGTGAGATATATAGAGATGGTATCGTTGCCAATCACGCAAATTAATTAGCATTAATGTGCCAACAGGTGACTTGCTGCGGATCGTAAAAGTTATTTCACTCGAAGGAGATTTCCTTAGCACTTTTATTTTTATGGGAGGAACGAGAAAGAGAGAAAGAGCTTTGGGTGATTTCATCCCAGAGATGAGCTCGTGATAATTCCAATCAAATAAAAAGTGCATTTGGAATCAATAAAAATAAGTTGTTATTCATACATTAAGAAGGGGCTATAAATTCTAGACATTACTGATTCTCTTGAAGGTTTTATTTGTCACTAAATGTTTTATATTTATTATGAAGTAAGACTATACATATATACTTGAATCTTGTTTTTAGTAAGGCTAACTATCTTTTCTCATTCCACACCAAAGTGTCTTAGTTCCAAATACCAAGTTCCTTACTACTTTCTTAACCAAAATCAGCTACATTTTCTCCTCTAATTATCCAAATAAAAAACTGAACATAAATTCAAGTACTACTAACCACTTCTGAGCTCACGCTTCCACCTCCAGGCGGCACTCAGTCATTCAATGGGTACGCGGTATGCGTCATGCCAGGCCGAGACGCGTTGTTTACGGAGCAAACCGAATTCGTAACCAGAGAACAAAAGCCACACCAGAATGCTCTGCGGCTGTCGACACTCGCAGTCAGTCCGCCAGTAGAAACCGATCCAAACAGATGGCAGCCGCAGTAGCTCACAGCCAGGAGGAGCTCTTTGTGAGCCGGGCCAGCATTCAGTTGCAGTTCCAACCCGCAGGAGAGGCACCATCCCGCCTCTACGAGTGGCGCACGCAGGTGCTAACACCCAATCCCGCCCCGGAGGAGGAGCTTGTGAGCATCAAACAACGGAGCACGGAGGCTGCCACACCCCGGGGTAGCCACTACACTCCACCGCAGATCTTTGGGACCGAAGCGAAGCGCAAGAATCTGCCCCAGACGCTGAGCAACTTCTTCGAGGCGGAGCGGCACTCCAGCGCCTGGAATCGCGTGACCAAGTAGGCGCCACCCAAGGAGACGGCGGGTCCTAATCGATTAACCCATTAAGTGTGTGCGGAGACCTGCAGGAGGAGGAGTAAAGTGAAATTCCATTCCATTTCGTTGCCAAAAATTCCAATTCATGTCCCAAAAAATTGCTTACTCGCTGCTGGGGCCAACCCCAAACTATATGTACTTGTTGTATATAAGCATCGCATCCCATGAATATTTATGTGCCCCCGCCCCCACTTTTTTTTGCCTGATAATGCAATAAAAGTATTATTTGATAGATAAAGTAAAATTCCTCAACTATCTCTCTCTGTGCTGTGCCCTCCCAAGGGGTTAAACTTCATTAGGGCGCGATAAGAACAAGGCCTTGGACTGACTTTGGGACTGCGGACAGGGGACTAGCTAGAGAGCCTTTTGGGGCTGACTTTCTGGACTGGCTTTCTGGACTAGCTTTACTTTTCTGCCACGTCATCAGTGTGCATAAATCACGGCTGAACAAACGCACGAAAATTACAGGAACCAGAAGAGCGAAAGTCAAAGAAAAATCGCACGCCTGGCCGGAAGTTCATTATGTGGGGTGGGAGCTGGCAGCGCCCCCAAAAGCGGAAGTGGCTAGGGAAGTGGTACCCACACACATACAACACTCCCATGGCCTCCTGTAGTGTCCGCGGTGTCCGCATGCTTTCACGCTCTTTGACCCATGAAAGCAGCTGCTAATTTATCAGAGAGACAGCGCACTGTGGCACGAACCGCACGCTCCGCGGAGAGGCGGCCAGCGCTTCAAGGTGGCCGCCGGAATCGATTAGGCAGACCAACAACAACCCAGCCCAAAGAGCCAACAGTAAAGCGGCCAAAAGCAGAACAGCCAACAGCCAAACAGCCAAAATCAGAGCAAGCCAAACGTGCAATGCACATGCAAGCCAGTGCCAGCGACAAGAAAGAAGTAAAAACTGATAAACACTGCGACAAAAAATCACAATCTTCAAAACTGTGACAAAACTAAAGACAATGTTAATCACTGAAGAAAAGAAAATTCAAGCGATTATAACTAGTTTTTAAGGAAAGATGGTGTATGTTGTGAATGTATTTTATATCTTTATAAATTCCTTAGTGAGAAATACTATAATTTTATCAACCTAAGCAACCAATATATGGCTCAATCGCTACATAATTTCTCTGTGTGCCTGCAGGGTTGTCAAGTGGCTGTTGAATCAATGCAGGCTGCGAGAAGAGCCTCGAGCTCGTCCTGGCGCAGTCCTGTGCCCAATAAACACACTGCGGGTTGGAGGATGAAAGCCGAACTGATGGTGCTGGTAGATGGGGGCCACTTAAGGATTGCCATAGAAAGTTTATCACGGCTATGAGCAGCTGTCAATGAAGGTTACTTGGCAGGGAGCAGGATCTGTCCTTCCCGCACCTTCCTAACCAAAAAGTTACGGCGACCATAACTTGGCACAGTTAGGACCCCAGAGCCAGCCAGCCACACACATGAGTGGGTCGCATTTTAGCTAATCAAAAGCGCCGCTCTATCCCCAGGGCGATCCAAGACCAAGCCCAAGCCCAAGCCCAAAACCAAAGTGTGAGCATTATAATGCCTATATGTGCTTGACCCAATTTTGCCTAGAATTACATTTCCTGACGGAAGGAGGAGGAGTCCGCTTTAATGGGAAATGTTTCTTACACTAATTTCGGCATTTACGAATTTATGGGCATCGTTAAAGTTCTCTGAGCTCGAGCGTTCAAAAATTCCAAAATCTGTTGCAAAGTTTCAACGACAAATTCCCCTGCAGAATGAAATGCTTACGGGTTCTTGTTGCCGCAAGTAGGTACTTGAAATTTAAGTACCATTTAAAGTTGAAATGAATAAACGGTATTGGGTTTAATAACATTTGAGATAAACAACCCATAGAGCTGTCAGAAATTCCAGACATTAAAACCTATACCCATATATGAGTCAGTCAAGGTTTTTCTAAAACTGAAATTATTATTCAAAAGCTTAACATTATGTGTCTAAGTATAAGCTATAGATTCACAGGTGAATTCCAAATGATATTTCTACTGAAAAGCAACCCTAACCACTTGTAATATAACTATGATTTGGGAAATTACCTAAAGTAAAGAAACGAATCTAATCTTTTTTGAAATGATAAAGTGAAATTAATTTATGAACCAAACCTTTATAAGATAAGTTAATTAATCTGATTTGTGCGAGACATAATCCTATTATGGTTTCGAGTGAAGATTTGATGCCTATCTCTATCCAATTTGTGTATAATTTGTCGAAAAGCTGTTAAAAACTAGTCATAAATATCTTGGAAGCTTTTGAAACCTCATTAAATTTGAATAAATTAAAACAAACAAGAGACAGTCTAGTTGAGTTCCGAAGCGTTCGAGAAAGATTTGCTTACGCGATTGACACTCAATATCTTACGGATTGCATTCAATAACCTGTTTTTCCTACCGAGTGACCGCAAATCCCCGGATTGAGTGAATCATACTGATAACGGATATTGATACCCAGCGGCGAAACCCCTTAGGGGCCCACAAAATATGATTCATCCCAGGTAGGGATGGTATATGTACATATATCCAATCCTGCAGATTCACCTGCTTCTGACTCAGTTGCAGCCAGCTTGGAAAATCACAGTACCCAGCAGCTGTGGGCCACGGGGGCAGACAGCAGGGGCAATTAGTGGCCACGAGCAATGGAAGGACACTCGCCGTTCCATGGTTGGAGGGGGGGTGGAGCGGAATGTCAATAATTAAAAAGGCGGCCAAATGTTGTCATTTCAGACCGAACCCCATGTAACCCCGACTCCTTTTGCTTTCACGTTGCCTCATAAAGCACAGAAAAATACACCGAGCCGAAAGCGAAATGGGGAGGCAGGAAGGAAACGACTTCCTGCCACCCACACGGACTCGTTTTTCCCTTCCCTTCCCCCTCCTACCCCCTACCACCCTTCTGGGTCCTGTTTTATTTTTTTCATCGTCTCTCGTGGCTTTTAGCATGCAACTCACACGTCCTTGCCAGGACGCTATTGTTGTTGTTGTTGTTGTTGTTGTTGTTGTAGTTGTTGTTGTAGTTGTTGTTGTTGTTGGGACTGTTGTTGTTCCTGTTGTTGTTGTTGGGACTGTTGTTGGCATTTTGATTTATCGATTTAAATTTTGTGTTTAAGGCACTGTGCGTGCTCTCGGTCTCCTCGGCTTATTTTTTTTCTATTTTTTTATACCCGTTACTAGTCGAGCACCAATTCTATATTGTATTCGTGCAGGAAGCGTTTCCACACTTTATGGAGCATAATGTATATAAGTTGTTATTCTTGATCAGGGGCAACATTCTATAGTCGATGTGGTTTTGTAGTAGGAACTAGGCAAGCTAGATAAATATTTGTTACAAGAGATATTACAATTGTATTGTTTAATTATTTACTTTCTGTTAATAATGATAAAGTAATGAAACATTGAAAAATTAACTGTCTAGAAATATATATTTAAAATAAATAAAAACAAGAAAGAAAGCTAACTTCGGCACGCCGAAGTTTATATACCCTTGCAGATAGAACTTCTGTGAATAGGAATCCATACAATATTAATTATATATATTTGTGTTAAAAAACAATGAAGTAATACCTGCTTTCATTTACAGTCACAGATTTGCATTTTTCCTCTACATCAAACGATCGTTTGTATGGAACCTATATGATATAGTCGTCCGATTTTCATGAAATTTGCCACAAAATTTAAGACTTATATAAAATGGCTATACCTCAAATTTGATGAAAATCAGCTGAAAACTGGAAAAGTTATAAATTTAATTGTATTAATTTCTCGATCGTTCCTATGGGAGCTATATGATATAGTAGTCCGATTTTCATAAAATTTTATACAAAATTGTAGAGTATAGTAAAATCGCTATATCTTAAATTTGAGCCAATTCTATTGAAAACTGAAAAAGTTAAAATTTTTTTGTAAAAATTTTCCGATCATTCCAATGGAAGCTATGGGATATAGTCGTCCGATCCGGCCCGTTCCGACATATATACGAGTGAGAGTATATAGAAGGCTAACTACAAAGTTTCATTCAGATAGCTTCAAAACTGAGAGACTAGTTTGCGTAGAAACGGACAGACGGACAGACGGACAGAAGGACAGAAGGACAGACGGACAGACGGACAGACGGACATGGCTAGATCGACTCGGCTGTTGATCCTGATCAAGAATATATATACTTTATATAGTCGGAGGTGCCTCCTTCACTGCGTTGCAAACTTCTGACTGAAATTATAATACCCTGCAAGGGTATAACAAGAAAGGAAAATAACTTCTGAAAGACGAAATTTTGATACTTTTGTAGTTTGCAATTGAATTATAGAATCGAATTGAAAATCCCTCATAGCTAAGCTTAAAACATTCGCATTCTTGGAATCAATATTAATCTATATTTTAATGAGAATTTTGTCAACAAATCATAGTTTAAAAATCTCATAACTAAGCCAAAAGTGAATTAATTTTAAATCGGAAAGCGTCTATATGCTAGTTTTTCTTAGGGTAACACATTTGCATACTCATTTTAAAATTAAAAAAAAGTTAGATTTCTTATCAGTTTTTGACAATTTTAATGATTATAAGATTTTCAAAATTTTGAAAAAAATAAATTTCAGCCGGATATAGCTAGATCGTTTCGGTTTTTTGTGCTGATCAAGAATATATATGATTTATATGGTCGGAAATGACTCCTACATTAATTAAGACCAAGAAAATCTTAAACATGCCCTTATAAGAACTATTCATCAATATTTTCATATATTCACTTTTTGTAAAAAATCACAGTTTTTAGAATATCATAACTAAGCCAAAAATTAACTAATTTTAATTCAGATTTCACTTCTGTTCTAGTTTTTAACAAGCTAACAAATCTGCATACTAAGTTTTAACATTTAACAAATTCAATTTTTTGTCAAATTTTAACAATTTTATCGATATAATCTTATAAAAATTTCAAAATTTTGGAAAAAATTAATTTTTCCAAAATGTGGCTAGATCGATTCAGCTGTTGATGATGATCAAGAATATATATGATTTATAGGGTCGGAAATGATTCCTTCACTTTTTTCTTTGCTTCTGAAGTAGCTATTAACTTGAAAACAAGGATTAATGTGTCTAAATATTTGGAATCAATTATTTCTACTCTCAATTGGTTTTTAACAAAAATATGTAGCCCAGATTTTGACGATATTTATAAGTGATTTTGAATCCTTTTTCCTTTTCCTTTTTGGTATTAAATGCATACCAGGTATCTTAAAGTCGAATATACTCAACTGTAATTTTATTCCACCCTCCCGTTTTTTTGCTTGACTTTTCTTTTGGGGTTTTCCCAACTCGTTTTCGTTTTTTCTTGTTGTCTGTTTCTGTCTCTGCTTTTGTTTTTCTCAATCATTTTTCAAAATGTTTGCATACACACACACACACACACACAGAGACAGTGGAGCATACAGAGTGTGGCAGAGACAAACGAATAGCGAGTTTTTGGCCGCCTGCCGTTTAGGTCGAGGTCTTTGCTTAACTTTATATTCTCCTTCCTTTCGGGCGTTTTTTTTTTCAGGGTCTGCGCCTGCCAACCGCCGCCTCCTGGCCACCCACATGGAAAACGCCGACGTCGAGAGCCTGAAACGTCGTTAACAGCCACGTTTGCGTGTGCCTCACACACAGGCACACTCTCTGAAAAATACACACCCGCACACACTCTTATGGCACATTTTGAGCCAAGAGCCAAGACTGTGTGTGTGTGTGTGTGTGTGTGTGTGTGTGTGTGAGTGTATTTTTGTTGTTATTATACGGAGAGTGCGCTCGCAATTTGGGTCGATGGTAAAATAGAAAAGCCAAAAGCAAGGCAAATACACACACTCAAACATTTGTATACGACGAGCATGTGCGCGAGGATACTCGTATATAAAATTTCGAACAAAGGTCGCCGAGGAGCAGAAGCAGAAGCAGACCAGTGCACATTCGCTATATATACACATTCACCATATATATTTCCATATATATATATATATTTATATAAATTTATATGTAGGAGGAGGTCGGGCAACCTGAGTTATGTGCCCTGGCTGTCTGCATTATTTCCACTTTTTTTGTGGACGCTTTTCCGCGCTGGTTTCATGTTAATTGCTCGTAGCCCCCGTCGCTTGTTCCAGCAATCTGCGTTAATTTTAAAGCTTGATTTACACACAACAAGGATTCGTGGTTGCTGTCACCAATACAAAGTGCAATTGCAATTGCCATAGCAATTGCAGTTCGCAGGACACGTTTTCGCCTCCGAGTAGTTTTGTGTGTCACGAGCTCCTCCCCAGATTTGTTTGTTGTTTGCACACTCGTCCTCGGAGGAGGCGGTGGGTGGAGTAAGCAAACAAACAAACAAGGGGATTGGACAGGATTTTTGCCGGGGGACTACTTATCAGGGCTTGACATCATCACCATCTACACGGCTATTCAGAGATTTGTCCGTTGACATCATCATCCTCGGTGAACTTTACAGCGATTGCATATCGATAAATGTGGACAAAAAGAATAACATTCGATAGTGTAGATCTTTTGAATATCTTAGAAAATTATGGCCATAATGAATTGCTTTCACATTGTTATAGTTTTAATATCCCTTTTGAAATATTACCCTCAAAGTCTGTATAATATCTGAAACAGAAACGTTTACATCTTGCTCAAACTTTTTCCCTTTTGTCCGGGCTTGGACAGCCACTTTCAGACCTGAACCAGGCTCAGTTGAGTCATTAAAATGAGAAATGGCTCCGGGGTCTCTCCGCCTAAGCAAACCGTGTGCAATGTCAGGTTTAATTGTTGGCCAAAATGTGACTGCACCGCGTACACACAGGCCGAAAGACAGGCCAGGCTGGCAGGCAGGCAGTCTGAATCAGGGCCAAAAGGTAAAAAGGTTGCAAAGGTGCAAAGGGGACTTGACTTTCGCTGATGTGGTGCAAAAAATACTTTCATATAACATATATATATATGTATATATATCCCAGCATATGTGTGCTAGGCACACATTAACACGCTCTTGGGGCGCATACAGAAATATATTTCATCGGCCAACTGCAGACAGTTGTTCCATTATGTTCATTTTGCAGTCGCTTATGCTGCGGCCGGGATAATTTATGTTCGCCACATATTACGTATACGTAAACGTATATACATACGCTGGGCATATGAGTTTTGCGGGAATTACTGTGGTTGTTTCGCCACGGCGGCGCACGTTACGTATACGCAATGCAAGCACATAAATATCGCTCATACGCAGTGTGTGCGGTTGGGAAATAATCTTTCTACAGATGCAAGAGGCGACATCTCAATGTGAACCTTTTCAACGCTATTGATTTCTTGCTTTTTTTGTATTCATTTTTATCTGGAATTATTATGCGGGAAGGAACTTGTTGTTATTATTCCTCTGGAGTTCTTGGTAAAATACTGAGATTCAATGATAAATTAATGAAATGAGATTTAAATCCTTGAATGCAATTTTAACCTAATTTTCGCTTATTTCCTTTGGCTGTGCAGCACAAAATTTATACGGAAAAGACAGAAATTATGGTAGCACGACCTTGAATATTACTCATACGCAGTGTGGTACCAAGTTTCAAAACTAAATTAACTTTGATTAACTGGACTAGTTTTAAAGTTAAATAAGTAATTATTTGCTGGATAAAGACAATAATGTCTCAAGTTTAGGTCCCATTAACACGAACTGCCTCAAATGTTTGTTTTTATTGAAGAATTTCGCCTGTAATTATACCCCCATAAAGTAGGATATGACTTTATAATTTGACTATCAAACTTTGTACGCAAGTTTTATCATATTGCTATGAATTTCTACGAATTAAGCTTGGGTTTTTTGCTGAATGATTAATGAATATATTTCTCAGACCAACTTGTACCTGTGTCTCCTTTCTGGGGCCTTGAACTTTTACCCGCTATCTGGACTTCAACCCATCAATGCGCCCCCCATATGCAAGGCAAATTCAATTTGTCTTCGCTGGAATTTTTGTTGTGCAGAAAAATCCAATAGACATTCCCCGCTGCCCGCTACCCGAAAACCAATTGCTCATTTAAATACGAATGCCATTAGTCAGGCAAAGTTCTACATACACGAGATGGGAGGGAGATGGAATATTTGCAATCAGAGATGGCAAACTCACCATTGATACCACGTTGATTGGCCGCATTATCCTCATCGGAGGAGCCGGGCTGAAGCTCCTGGTCACGCTCCTGTTGCCGTTCCAGCTCCTGGTCCTCCTCCAGGCCGAACATCTGCTCCCCGGACTGGAAGGGATATAGCAGCTCGGCCTCGTCCTCGACAGAAGTCTGAACCGGAGCGCCCACACCGCCCAGGACATCGTTCTGATTCTGGTTCTGGTTCTGACTATTGCTGTTGCTGTTGTAATGCTGCTTTGCCGACTTGGGCTTGGCAGCATCTCCCAATCCCAATCCCTGGCTGGCAATGCATAGCAGCAGGATGCCGTAGACCGGCAGGCGGAGGCAGCGACTGTGGCAGCGGCTGCGATTAGAGGCACCACGAGATGTTGCAGAAGCTGCTGCTCTGCTTCTTGTCTTTGCTTTCGTTATTGTTGCTTTTGTTGTTGTTGTTGCTGATATTGTTTTTAAGGTTAATAATACTAAGCGCTTGAAAATATGTACACACTCGTCCAGTATCGTAGCTTGCTGCTGCTGCTGATCGGCCAGGCTCCAGGAGGCATGATCCTCCCGTAGACGCCCCCGCCTTCGGCGACTGTTGAAGTCTATCGTTGTGTTGCTGCTGCCGCTGCTGCAGCTGCTGCTGCTGCTGCTGCTATCAGCGGGCAACATGTTGTTGTTGTCGCTGCTCCAAAAGTTGCTGCTATTGCGTTTGGTTACTGCTGCTGCAGCTGCTGCTGCTGTTGCCGCTGCAGTTGCAGTTGCTACTGTTGCAGTGGCTGCTGCTAAGGCTCCATGATCTCTAGCTGGGAATGGCGCTCCCACTGCTGCTGCTGCTGCTGTTGCTGCGATTGCTAGTTGCTGCCTCTGCTGTTGCTGCTGCTGCTGTTTGCTGCATGTTGTTGGCTGCAACATTGGACCCGTTGGAATAATGTTGTTTGGTTGGTTGGTTGGTTGCTTGGTTTGTATTGGTTTGGTTTGGTTTGGTTTGGTGTTATCGTTTCCACTGGCAAAACCGTTTGTTGTCGTTGTACGCTTTTGATTAGACTGAGTTTAGCTTAGAGTTCACGTTCCATTTGTTGTATCACACAAACTTTGTTATATACACGTTAAATACATAAGTAACAATTAACACACGGAACGGAGAGAGCGGCAAAGAATTCGGTAGCAGGACAGCGATGTGGGCGATGCTGTTACCGCCGATGCTGCTGGCGTGGTCACCAGAAGACGCAGCATTTCCATTTCCACAGGTCGCAATTTTCTCACACTTTTTCTACTCAGACACCCCCGCTGCCCGTTATCCGCTTTTCGGTGATATATTTCCTTTTTTTGTGGAACGCCTCCTGGCTTTTTATTTTCGTTCACGGCCTAACCCCTGCCTTTTTGCTGCTCCTGCTGCTGCTGCTGCTAGTGATGCTGCTGCTGCTGCTATTCCTGGCCATTTGTCTGAGGCTTTTCCGCCAGCGAATCCTGCGTCCTGTGCCTCCGCGTGTCCCTCTGCGGAGGAAGGTTTCCCTGAGTGGCCGTCGCGGTATGGAGCTGGGTCCGGAGCTGGACTACATCACGCTGCGCACTCTGCTGGCGTTGTGAGCCTGAAGCCCGATTCCTAGTCCTAGTCCGAAACCGAAACCGAATCCGAATCCGAGCTAGAGCCTGAGCCTGAGCCTGGCCAGGCTGCGAGCAGGCTGGAAAGCACTGGAAGCTCGGCTGCTATGCTCTCAAAGAGTGAGGGAGAGAGTAACGAACTGCTGCGCATGCGTCGCTTTTGTTTACATTTTCGATGGCTTCACTCGATGGCTGCAATGGCTGAAAGGATGCCTGTGTCTGTGGGAATGCATATAAAAAGGATGAAATAATTAGCAGAGTGAATTTGAAAGATTTTTAATGTTTTAATAGTATTTAATTGAAAAGGGAACATCAAGTTGTATAGTTAAGGTAATCTGCATTTCTTCTTTCTGAATAAATAGATTTCAATAATAATAAAATATATCTGTATATTTGCATGGTAATTATCTTTAATTCTTTTTTTAACTTTTAATACTTTGTGATTTTATTTGATGATTATGAAATTGCAAGTAAACAAGTATTCAAAAATTTATTTATTCAAAATATATGCAATATTAACTTAAGACCAGAGTAAAATATATCCCTGCTACGCACTTTACGAATTTTGGTATATAATAAATTTAAATAATTTCTTGAATAAATTATATTTTTCATACTTTTCTATTATATTAATTAATATTTAGAAATTCAGTTTTTAGTGATATTCAAATTGTTAAATAGTTTCCAAAAAAATGGCAGCGTTTCCTTGCTAGGCATTACGCCTATTATTACACGCTCTTCGGCCAGCTTTTCACTTTTCTCTTTGCCATTTTCCAGGCTCTCCCTCCCGCTCCCGCTCTCTCCCCCATCCCCCCTCTCTGTCACATACAATTTAACGCTGCCTCTCGCTCGCTCGCGTGCTGGATGCCGCTTATCTGCTGGGCCTTATCGCTTTTCTCACGGCTTTTGCTTTGCTTTTGGCTTTGCTTTCTGCTTCTGCTTTGGCTTTGGCTTTAGCTTTCGCTGCTGCTACCTCTGCCCAAGCCTCTGCCTCTGCCTCTGCCTCTGTGTTTGTTGTTTTAGCTTACGCTTACAATTTTTACTTTCATTTAGGTTTAGTAGGTGACTCTACCGCGCCCCTCTCCTCCCTCTAAGCCACCCCTCCCTCCCCTTTTTTACGCTTTTTACGGTCTTCGGCTGAATGTGCGGTTATGTTCATTGTTATGCTTTGAGTAGCTCCCGCTGCTTCTAGTCCTAGGACATCCTTCCCTCCTCCCTCCTACCCCTCATGCTAATCCTCGCCATTCCCCTTGATTATCCTGTGCCTTTTTGTCCTTTTTCTCGCTGTTATTTTTAGCCGTAGGCCAGAGTTTTGGCCAAGAATTCAACCGTGTGGCTTTGTTATTAATTATGTTTTTTTTTCTGTCCCGCTATTGTTGTGTTTGTGTGTGGGTTTGTATCATGTTGTATTTGTTGTTATTGTTTTTTTAGCAAATTGCGTAACATTTTTACGCTTTACATAATTGCCCCATAAAATTGTAGGACATTAGATATATTCTGAAAAGTTTCATTTTGGTTAAACTAATAAAGAAAAACTTGACTAAGTCTGAGGTTTATATAACCTTGACAAACTTTTCCTTGTTAATTTTTTAAAGATTTTAGTTTTTAAGATTGGAATACATTAATGTAAGAAAAGGTTTATGTTTAAGTTTATCTTATAAGGAATAAAGTTTGTGGAAAGTGCTAGAAGTTTACTTTGGGATCTATATCATATTTTAAGAATTTAATTTCAGTTTTAAGGCATCTTTTATTTATTTTATTTTAAGGATATCTCATTGTCTAATAAATCACTAAATTGCACTATTTTTACTATTATATTCATTTTAAAATTGATTTCAATTTCCCCTGAAGTTATTATAAATGATTTGAATATATTTTCCTGATTCTTTAGTAATTTCCTTTCTTAATAACTCCCCGCGAACCTTTCCTTTATATAATGGGGCTCCAAACGGAAGGGAAAAAGCCATCTTGGCACCCAAAAGTATGCTGCAGAAGATGCCCACCAAAAAGGCCATTAAACGCGAGCTAAATTGGTAGAAAAACAGGAACGAGTCCTGCCCCGGTGTGTGTGTGTGTGTGTGTGTGTGTGCCAGTTGGGCTAATTGTTATATCATGGGGCCGCAACTTTAAAGGGGCGGGGCCGCTTTAAGAACGGGGTCGAACTCGTGACAACCGAAAGTCTGACTGCAAAAACTTTCTTCTCGACTTGGCTTTTGAGTTGACCAGCCGAAAAAAAGGCAAAGGCAGTCAGAAAGAATGTGGAAACTCTGCGCACACACACCATGGCACACCAGGACACACACGCACACACACACAAAGCAGGCGAAAGTAACGTTTTGACCTCTTTATGAAAAAGGCCTCAAGCACGAGAGGGCCGCACTCACACAGAGGCCTGACTACACACAGACACGAACGGGGGCTGCCGTTAATGTTTTCTGCACTCACACACACACACACACACACACACATACAGAGATCCCCGAAAAACGCTTTGCGCGGCGGCGACACCCTGGCCCCCTCTGCTTGTGGCTTTTTATTGCTTGATTATATAAAAATTGGCTTTGAATGTGGCATGTTTTCTTTTTATTTTTTCTTGTTGGTTTGCTGCAGCTTTTTAAGCGCCTCTAGAGGCTGCTCCTCAATTATGCCAGGATTCGAGCTGAGACCTTTGATACGGCTTGAGTTTTTCCTTTTTGATTTCAAACTGCAATACATTTCCAACACCTCGCGCACACCAATACAGGCTCTTACACACAGAAACGCGCACACACAGACACACACACGGCGCACACGGTTAAAAGTTTCTGCACACACATACAGCGAGCAGGAGGCTCGTGGACGCACCATCCGCTCGTTGGTCCTGCGAGGATGTTGTCAGCACAGCGCCCGAAAACGTTTTGGGTCCCTGCCAGACACAGCCGCGAATCCTTGGGCCAGGCACGAGACCGTATGGAAAGCCGACAGCTGCCGAAGTGAGCCGAACTTCCAGCTGAATGGGGGGGGGATATGGATAGCTAGGCTTGGGGCTAGGGGGTTGGCCAGGATCGGGTATCGGGTTCGCTCTTGGGCTCAGTTTCAATTTCAGCTGCTATCTCCTAGGCATCGCTTCGATTTATAATTAATTAATTTACGATGACTTCCGCTGGCACACACATTTGCATTAGCTGGCTCGCTCTCATCGGCTCAGCCTCAGGCTCAGGCTCAGGTTCAGGCTAGAGTCGCAGTCTCCCTCTCGCTGGCTTCCAGTTTATAGCATACTTATGCGGGCAAGGAGGCACAAAGGGCTTGGAAAAGGACGAGAGAGCGAGAGAGAGAGAGCGCGCAGCTGTTCGGGCGCTCCAGGTGTCGCCGCCTTCCCTGTCCCTACAAACAAATGCCAAAAACGAACGACAGGACGACAGAACGAAAGGACGAACGGAGGAACGGACGAAGGAAAGCAAGAAATAAACGTTTTGTGCATGCTCACACACTCGCACAGATACACACGCACAATTGTATTTTGATTATGCCCGGTTTTGGTACGCCGCATACCTCGGATATTTCTACGCACAACAATGCCAAATCCTCACCCCAAAATCCACATCCGCCGTCTCCTCCTCCACCTCCCCCCTTGGAGTCCGCCCAAACGAAACGAAACAAAACGAAGCGAAACCCAATCCAATCCCAACCCATCAAGCGCGCTAACCCATCCCCAAGCTCCATTGATAGCCGCCAAGTTTGCCGTCACATCAAATATTTATGGCGACAGCAGAGAGAGAGCAAGAATAGTCGAAAATTCGGAATTTAAAATCCAACTAACAAGGATCTCAAGTTAGGAATGTATTAAAGCGAAAGTGCCTTAAGTCCATGAAGGCACCACTGAGGCCACTCAGCTAACTCGATTATTGTTATTATCAGATGCAGGCGGAAAATAATAACAATTAAATTAAATAACCAAGAGGTTAAGGATTTATTACATTTATATTATATTTATATATAAATAAATATAAATACAAAGAAAACGGCATGTAAATAATGGATTACCCTCCAAGTTTGAAGTACAACAAATCAGGAATTTATATTATTCAAAATTCCAATTCATAATTAAATTATTTCCATACCTAATGCTATCTTCAAGCTCAATTTAAGCGAAGCTATATAAGTCTGTTTTAGGAAGAGAAACTACTTAAAACTAAAATGAAACTATACGTAGCAACTCTTCTATTCGTGCTTATTAACTATGGCACTCGACGGACTGACGCTCCTTTTCCGAGTCAAAGTGGTAATATAGGAGATATATATTAAAAGAAAAAATAAAGTTCGAATTAAAATGTTTTTGAAATGAATGCCAACTTGCTATTTTCTTTTGGGTTATGGGTTATAAATTTAGGGAACACTCCTTTAGATATACCCATAGAAATAAATGAAAATAATGTTTAGTGGGGGAAAAACAAACATGGTGTTAATTGGGGTTATCTTTCGTATATAATGTAGGGCTGAATTGGCATATTAACTCGATTAGCAATTGAATATTATATATTTGGAAGACTGGAAATTTAGTTTGCTTGAAGGGAATTAAATTATTACCATACCTAATTCTATCTTCAAGCTCAATTTAAGCGAAGCTTTATAAGTCTGTTTTAGAAAGGGAAACTACTTAAAACCAAAATGGAACTATACGTGGCAACTCTTCTATTCGTGCTTTGTAACTTTGGCGCTTCATGGTCTTACGGTCCTTGGCCGAGTCTAACTAATAAAAAGTAAATGTTTTCAAAAAATAAATGTTATAAAAAATAATAAAGGCTTTGAAAAATAACAATTTTTTATCTTTCTTTTGGGTTATGGGTTTGTAAATTTAGGGTACACTCCTTTAGATATATCCATAGAAATAAATGAAAATAATGTTTAGTGGGGAAAGACAAACATGGTGTTAATTGTGGTTATCTTTCGTATATAATGTAGGGCTGACTTGGCATTTTAACTCGATTAGCAATTGAATATTATTACACATAAGTTCCACCTCAAAGATAGGCTTTGATATCCTATATATCCTGCGGAACAGAGTTATAGGTTGTGACCGCAATATAATAATACATTAACAAAACTTCGTGTTAACAATAAATTAAGCTCCAAGCATGAAGCACAGTAAATTAGGAATTTATTTAGTTCACAATTTCTCGCTTTTAAAAGTCGTTGATAATTAAATTACTTCCATAGCTAATACAATTTCAAATCTTTCTAAGATTACCCATATATAAGACAGTTTAAATAAAAGAAACTAAATTAAAACAAAATGAAAGTATACTTGGCCGCTTTTCTATTCGCACTCTGCAGCTTTGGGGTTGCCTGGTCTTATCATGCTAATGCGGAGCGTAAAAAGTAAATTAAGTGTAATGGTTTTCAAATGAAATAAATACCATTTACTGCAATACTATTAAGTTGTTTTTATTTGGGTTAAGGGTTTATTTATTTATTATGATTTTATATTATAGACCAACTGTGTTTTTAAGTAAGCTAATATTTAAAGTAACTTCCCAATCAGAGCTGTCGCTCACGGAGGCGAAGATGTAGGCCATTGTCTGACTTGAGGGTTAGGACCGCCGATAGAACTGGATCGTATTTGTGGCGGCCGGCCTCCCGCTTTAATTTCTCACCTGGCGAGAGTCCCAGGTAGGTGTTTATCCGCCCATCCATGGAGACAAGTTCATCCACTGCTGGTAACACTTCAAAGGAACGCACCAGCTTCGAGATCACGGTTTTCAGCTCCAGTAGGGCAAACTTCTGGCCAATGCAATTGCGGGGTCCAGCACTAAAGGGTACATACTCAAAGGGACCAGGTTTCTCCTCCTCGAATCTCTCGGGCCGAAAGTGATGGGGATCCTTGAAAACGCGATCGTTGTAGCCCATCAGGAAGAGGGACATAATGAGAGTGGTTCCCTGGGGCACGATAGTTCCATCTAAAAGATGAAATGACTTAGTATTTATATTTATATATACATTACGGTATTCAATCCTCACTGATATCATAGTCCTTGTCGCAAAAGCGTCCTATAAATGGAACACTGGGATAGACGCGCTGTGCTTCCTTGATAAACAGATCCAGATATTTCATTTTGGCAATCTCTTGGAAACTGGCATCCCTGTTCATATCATTACCCATGACCTCACACTGCTCCTGGTAGAGTTTTCGCTAGAAGTTCACATAAATTAGCTTCCAAGCTTTTAGTCTAGTATATAAAGTATTGTTTCTACCTGGACATCAGGATGTCGGGAGAGCAGGTAGCCAGAAAAGGACACGCCCGAGGTGGTTGTGTCGTGACCCTCGAACATGAAAGTTGACACCTCCTCGTAGATCTCCTGCCGTGTCAGCGGACGACCATCAATGCTGGAGGACAACAATGTGTCCAGAAAAGCCATTTTCTTCCTTGGGGCAGTTGGATCCTGCTCTTTCTTTGAACCTCCCTTTTGCAGAGTCTCTACACGCTTCTCTATGATGTCATAGGTGAAGTCCTGCAGTGTCTTCAGGGATCGCTGAAAGGCTCCAAACTCTGGGGACAGGCTGAAGATCCGATGCGACCTCTTGAAGGGATGAAAGGCCCGCATATTAATGGTGTAGCACATGCTTTAAACAAATATTAGTTACACATTGATTTTAAAGAAACAGAACAGTAGATCTCACTCTCTAAAGGCCTGGACAATGGAGGAGTCCCGCTGCTCCATGGCATTTATGGGAACTCCCATTGCCGTGTCACAGATCACATCCAAGGTAAGGTAATTGGAGTGCTCCTGAAAGTCAATGATACGGTCCCCGGCAGCCGCCTTCCTAAGCTGCGCCATGAACTTGGTGGAGTTCTCATTCATCACCTCATGGAAGTCCTGCAGGATGTTGAAGTGGAACGAGGGTGTGATCATCTTGCGATGCTTGTGCCACTTGCTGCCGTAGCTCGTAAGAAGGCCATAGCCCAGCCATGGATGCAATAGATCATAGATGGTGGACTTCTGGATGAGCTGCTGGCTATTGAGAATGTACTGGAGAGCGGAATAAACCCTTATCATTGCTGTTTAATAAATAGGGAATAAGGTATAAGACCCACCTCAAGTTGCTTTGGATTGGTCACGATTATGTGTGATGAATACCCGATCCAGATGAGAAAGTTATCGCGGCCCGAGTCGTACCACCAATCGGAGAACGTATTAAGAATTTCTGTCAAACCAAAACAAACAAAGTGCGATTAGGTCGATTATTGTGATCTTTGGCCGAGTCAGCCGTGAATTTCGCCACAGCGATTGGCATTGCATCAGACTTTTAACCCTTATCACAGAGCCGCGTCTAGACTGCGTATGGAGAGATAAGAGGTGGGACAAGCCCCCTCATTGCGGGGGTATTTTGTAACTGACCTGCCGGATTTTTGCCAATACGATTGGCATTTCCTAGCACCGGCACCGGAGCGGGTCCACTGAACGCCTTTAACATGCGACGGCGACGCGACACCTTCAGTTCAAAGTACACCAGCACGAGCAGCGGCAGGGCTAGCAGAGTTAGCACAGCAAATAACATATTTTGTTATATTTTTGTATTGAAGAAGGGGAAACCAGTTTGGGATGTGGACAAAGAGACAGACACCGATTCAGCAGAAGTTCGCGGTTGGAACAGTTGGAGGAATCGCTGGTGTCGCCCGCTTTTATAGCCGGGTTCGGCTGGGTTAGCTCGCTCCGAATTGGTACACTCGCCCCTTCGATTAGACAAGAGAAACGCTCCAAATGCTTTCAACGCTCTCCTGTCCTTTTACTCGGTGGTACCACAGTCCATAGTCCCTCCTCCAATTTTTTCAGATTGCATCATGCGATGATCATAGTCACCGAATGATGGTTAAATGAAAAGAGTGTAAGATCAAAAATCTAATAAGAAGAATTAAGCACATTTAAAGCATTCATTATTATTTAATATTGATAGCTAAATGCTGCTTGATGTTTATTGCCATCTAAGAGAAATTCCATAGCAAATACTGCTCTTAGCATAAAGTGATAAGAGATCAGAGTACGTTTCAGAATGGATGATGGAATCTCTTCACGTTTAATAGATAAAATCTGCGTTTATAATTTTTATTGTTATTTATCTATACTATAACTATAACCTAACCATAACAGTTTTTTTACTTAAACAAGAAAGGAAGCTAACTTTGGTACGCCGAAAAACGACCACTAGAAATTGGTACAATATAAACTATATATATATATGTTAAAAAACAAAAAGTATTGCCTGCTTTCATTTCATTCACCTATACATATTCATTTTTAACGATCGTTTGTATGGCAGCTATATGATATCGCAGTCCGATTTTCATAAAATTTAACACAAAATTCTAAATTAATATATAATGGCTTTATATTAAATTTCATGAAAATCTGTTGCAAACTGGAAAAGTTGTAATACTTTTTCCTAAAATTTTACGATCGTTCCTATCGTGGCTATACATATATATTTATACACATATATACATATATATATATATAGTCCACCGATTCGCAATGCTCCGATTTATACAGTAGTAAAATAATATAAAAGATTAACTCCATAGTTTCATTCAAATAGCTTAAATTTGCTCCAAAACAAATCTCGCACATCTGTGCATATGATTCCCAACTTGTTCTAACATCCCCGGAACGAAGTGCTTTCTGCCGGCCATGTCTCAGTAAAGTGTTGTGATGCAAAAGTTGCAAGTCATTGTTTATTAGTGTTCATAGATACTTGCTGGTCAAAATTACTTACTGGTCATAGCTACTTCCTGGTCAAAGTTACTCACTGTTCATTGATACTTGCTAATCAGAGTTACTTACTGCTCATAGTTACTTAACTTTTATTGATGCTTACTGATTGTAGGTAATAACTGCTCATAGTTACTTCCTAGTCATAGTTAATCACAGATCATAGTTCTATAAAACGTCCGATTACTCCTATGGCAGCATATATATGTATATATATAGTCCACCGATTCGCCATGCTCCGATTTATATACTAGTAAAATTAAATAGAAGATTAACTCCATGGTTTCATTTAAATAGCTTAAATTTGCTCCAAATCAAATCTCGCACATCTGTACTTATGATTCCCAACTTGTTCTAACATCCCCAGAACGAAGTGCCTTCTGCCGGCCATGTCTCAGTAAAGTGTTGTGATGCAAAAGTTGCAAGTCATTGTTTATTAGTGTTCATAGATACTTGCTGGTCAAAGTTACTTACTGGTCATAGCTACTTCCTGGTCAAAGTTACTCACTGTTCATTGATACTTGCTAATCAGAGTTAGTTACTGCCCATAGTTACTTAACGTTCATTGATAATTACTGATCGTAGTTAATAACTGCTCATAGTTAATCACGGATCATAATTCTATAAATCGTCCGATCGTTCATATGGCAGCTCTATATATGTATATATATAGTCCACCGATTCGCCATGCTCCGATTTATATACTAGTAAAATTATATAGAAAATTAACTCCATAGTTTCGTTCAAATAGCTTAAATTTGCTCCAAAACAAGTCTCGCACATCTGTGCATATGATTCCCAACTTGTTCTAACATCCCCGGAACGAAGTGCCTTCTGCCAGCCATGCCTCAGTAAAGTGTTGTGATGCAAAAGTTGCAAGTCATTGTTTATTAGTGTTCATAGATACTTGCTGGTCAAAGTTACTTACTGGTCATAGCTACTTCCTGGTCAAAGTTACTCACTGTTCATTGATACTTGCTAATCAGAGTTAGTTACTGCCCATAGTTACTTAACGTTCATTGATAATTACTGATCGTAGTTAATAACTGCTCATAGTTAATCACAGATCATAATTCTATAAATCGTCCGATCGTTCATATGGCAGCTCTATATATGTGTATATATAATCCACCGATTCGCCATGCTCCAATTTATATACTAGTAAAATTAAATAGAAAATTAACTCCATAGTTTCGTTCAAATAGCTTAAATTTGCTCCAAAACAAATCTCGCACATCTGTACTTATGATTCCCAACTTGTTCTAACATCCCCGGAACGAAGTGCCTTCTGCCGGCCATGCCTCAGTAAAGTGTTGTGATGCAAAAGTTGCAAGTCATTGTTTATTAGTGTTCATAGATACTTGCTGGTCAAAGTTACTTACTGGTCATAGCTACTTCCTGGTCAAAGTTACTCACTGTTCATTGATACTTGCTAATCAGAGTTAGTTACTGCCCATAGTTACTTAACGTTCATTGATAATTACTGATCGTAGTTAATAACTGCTCATAGTTAATCACTGATCATAATTCTCTAAATCGTCCGATCGTTCATATGGCAGCTCTATATATGTGTATATAGCTACTTCCTGGTCAAAGTTACTCACTGTTCATTGATACTTGCTAATCAGAGGTACTTACTGCTCATAGTTACTTAACTTTTATTGATGCTTACTGATTGTAGGTAATAACTGCTCATAGTTACTTCCTAGTCATAGTTAATCACAGATCATAGTTCTATAAAACGTCCGATTACTCCTATGGCAGCATATATATGTATATATATAGTCCACCGATTCGCCATGCTCCGATTTATATACTAGTAAAATTATATAGAAAATTAACTCCATAGTTTCGTTCAAATAGCTTAAATTTGCTCCAAAACAAGTCTCGCACATCTGTGCATATGATTCCCAACTTGTTCTAACAACCCCGGAACGAAGTGCCTTCTGCCAGCCAAGTATCAGTAAAGTGTTGTACAAAAGTTGCAAGTCATTGTTTATTAGAGTTCATAGATACTTCCTGGTCAAAGTTACTTACTGGTCATAGCTACTTCCTGGTCAAAGTTACTCACTGTTCATTGATACTTGCTAATCAGAGGTACTTACTGCTCATAGTTACTTAACTTTTATTGATACTTACTGATTGTAGGTAATAACTGCTCATAGTTACTTCCTAGTCATAGTTAATCACAGATCATAGTTCTATAAAACGTCCGATTACTCCTATGGCAGCATATATATGTATATATATAGTCCACCGATTCGCCATGCTCCGATTTATATACTAGTAAAATTATATAGAAAATTAACTCCATAGTTTCGTTCAAATAGCTTAAATTTGCTCCAAAACAAGTCTCGCACATCTGTACTTATGATTCCCAACTTGTTCTAACATCCCCGGAACGAAGTGCCTTCTGCCGGCCATGCCTCAGTAAAGTGTTGTGATGCAAAAGTTGCAAGTCATTGTTTATTAGTGTTCATAGATACTTGCTGGTCAAAGTTACTTACTGGTCATAGCTACTTCCTGGTCAAAGTTACTCACTGTTCATTGATACTTGCTAATCAGAGTTAGTTACTGCCCATAGTTACTTAACGTTCATTGATAATTACTGATCGTAGTTAATAACTGCTCATAGTTAATCACAGATCATAATTCTATAAATCGTCCGATCGTTCATATGGCAGCTCTATATATGTGTATATATAGTCCACCGATTCGCCATGCTCCGATTTATATACTAGTAAAATTAAATAGAAGATTAAGTCCATGGTTTCATTTAAATAGCTTAAATTTGCTCCAAATCAAATCTCGCACATCTGTACTTATGATTCCCAACTTGTTCTAACATCCCCGGAACGAAGTTCCTTCTGCCGGCCATGCCTCAGTAAAGTGTTGTGATGCAAAAGTTGCAAGTCATTGTTTATTAGTGTTCATAGATACTTGCTGGTCAAAGTTACTTACTGGTCATAGCTACTTCCTGGTCAAAGTTACTCACTGTTCATTGATACTTGCTAATCAGAGTTAGTTACTGCCCATAGTTACTTAACGTTCATTGATAATTACTGATCGTAGTTAATAACTGCTCATAGTTAATCACTGATCATAATTCTCTAAATCGTCCGATCGTTCATATGGCAGCTCTATATATGTGTATATAGCTACTTCCTGGTCAAAGTTACTCACTGTTCATTGATACTTGCTAATCAGAGTTAGTTACTGCCCATAGTTACTTAACGTTTATTGATAATTACTGATCGTAGTTAATAACTGCTCATAGTAATTCACTGATCATAATTCTCTAAATCGTCCGATCGTTCATATGGCAGCTCTATATATGTGTATATATAGTCCACCGATTCGCCATGCTCCGATTTATATACTAGTAAAATTAAATAGAATATTAACTCCATGGTTTCATTTAAATAGCTTAAATTTGCTCCAAATCAAATCTCGCACATCTGTACTTATGATTCCCAACTTGTTCTAACATCCCCGGAACGAAGTGCCTTCTGCCGGCCATGCCTCAGTAAAGTGTTGTGATGCAAAAGTTGCAAGTCATTGTTTATTAGTGTTCATAGATACTTGCTGGTCAAAGTTACTTACTGGTCATAGCTACTTCCTGGTCAAAGTTACTCACTGTTCATTGATACTTGCTAATCAGTGGTACTTACTGCTCATAGTTACTTAACTTTTATTGATACTTACTGATTGTAGGTAATAACTGCTCATAGTTACTTCCTAGTCATAGTTAATCACAGATCATAGTTCTATAAAACGTCCGATTACTCCTATGGCAGCATATATATGTATATATATAGTCCACCGATTCGCCATGCTCCGATTTATATACTAGTAAAATTATATAGAAAATT